ATGCCCAAACCTGGAAGGTTCGGGCCTTTGACAATGCCAGCTGCCCCACGGCATTGCTGGAGCCGCCCTGGGAGAGCGAGGTGGAGGCCTTCGGGTACGACCTAATCACCTACTCGGTCTCCTGAAGCACCTAGCCGATAAAGCTATTTAACAATATTTAGACTGTTGCTCAGGATTCCTTACCCTAAGGCTCGAAATGGCACAAAAGCCTGATATAATATGGCCTTCAGGCCCAAAAGCCTTAAAATCTGAGCCCTTAGAGCCTTAGGGATAAGGTAAGTATGACATAGGTTTTGGAATCCTGAGCCCTTACAGCCCCTTAGCGCCCCCAATAAACTGACACACTAGGAACCCCCAATGCTGCTGGCCCCGATACTACACCCCGGACCCTCCTGAAACCCTAGATAGAAGCCTTTAGCGACAAACACTATAGTCTCCTTAGAATTTCTTTTTTGGTTCATATAAAACCCCCAGAGAATATCAAAACTGTTTTTTTATTATGGCTCTAAGGGGGATACAAAACAAGGTATAACATGAGCCCCATGGACAGCCTTTGCATCACCCCCCTAAAGCCTCAACCCTAATCCCGACATCCAAATCCCTAACCCCTAAACCCGAAAACGACCCCAAACCCAAAAATCCCTAAACCCTAAAGTCTTGAATCCTTCATCACTAGACCACCAAAAAAACCCTAAATCCATAAACCCCAAACCATCCCTGAATCCTTATATAGTCCCTAGGCCCCCCAAAGCCCCAAATACCTAAACCCTAAATCCCTGAATCCTTAGTCCCTAGACCCCAAAAGCCCTAAATACCTAAACCCTAAATCCCTGAATCCTTAGTCCCTAAACCCCAAAAAGCCCTAAATCGTAAGCCCGGTTGCAGGTTACTTCGGACCCGCCTTTGCTTCTGGGCTGTCTCCGCCTGGCCCAGGTCCTCTCTTTGAAGGTTTGAATCTTTAGAACCTTTCGGGTTTAGGGATGTAGGGTTTAGGGATTTAGGGTTTATGCCTTTATGGTTTAGGGTGTTAAGGATTTAGAGTTTAGGGCTTAGGGATTTAAGGTTTAGGAGTTTAGGGTTTAAGGATTTAGGGTATAAAGGACCTCCAATCAAGGGTCCCAGGCAATGTAGGTGGAGTTTCCGACAATTAGGGGTACCTTTTTTTGGGGGGTTCTTATAACAAGGATCCTACAATTTAGGGCGCTATATTAGGATCCTCTATTATGTATCGTTTATGAGGATTGTTTGAAGGCGTTTCAGAGGCGGTGTATCAGCGTTTATCGGGTCTGCTAGGGTTCTGTCAAGTTTCTTTGGAAGGGCTTCAAAACTGTCATAGGCATTTAAAGAAGCCCGAAAACAGGTGCCCTCAAAAGAACCTGAAAGAACCCGTAAAGGAGCCCTTACATGGCCTTTTTGTATAAGGGCTCTGTGCGAGGCTCACGAAGGATCGTAAGCAAGGCTCACTTAAGCCTTTACTAGGTCGCTTTAGAGGTCCATGAGGGTTGTTTTGTTTTGTGTTTAATGTTTTGCAAGGGTTGCAAACGGGTTTTATAGGTATGTGCAACTGTTGTATATGGGTATTGAATTGGCTGTTCAAGGCGTTGCCCTACCTTGGGCTGGTTTAAGGCTCATAGGATCTGGGTTCTCGGGTCTAGGTTTGCGCAAGGTTCGAGGTTTTGGCTTAGGTTTAGGTCGAGGGTCCGAGTACCTACAACCATCTACTTTCTAAAGTACGAACCTACAATGACCTACACTACGATTCTCTTAAACCCAAGTACGTAGTTTTTCTGGGTCCTTCGTACCGGTACGATCTGAGAAGTGTTGTAAGGAAGTGCCGGTTTCTCTGGCTAAGGATATGCGGTCCAAAAATCCCTTGAGGTTTCAGGGCCCCAAGTCCTTGGACTCTACCCTTACACTTTCATGACTATTGTTTTAGGGCTGTTGGCCCAGAGACTCCAACATCCCTTACCCAAGGAATATTCCTTACATCATATTAGGGGTCCTACTAATTATTCACTGTATATTCCTTAAATAAGCGATATTGGAGTCTCTGGGGGGCTTGCAGTAAAGACTACAGGGGCTTTTGAAGCTTTCTTGAAACTTAGGGTTTGGGGCAGGTTGTCAGCTTCGCGCTGTTGGCTTCAGTAGACAAGTTTGGATTTCGGGCTGTAGGGGTATCCCTAAGCCCTAAACCCTAAACCCCAAACGGATACATGTATACAGCTAGATGTAGGATGACCTAAGCTGCTATGGCGGTGTAGGTTTGTAGGGGGAAGTGCAGATAGAAGGCATCCCAACCACCAGCCTAGGGCTTCAAGGGCTTTCTGGTTTTGGGCTTTAGCGGGAGTTACTGTTGGCTTATCTGTTATCGCCCAGATTCGTGAAGAGTCTATTCTAATTTTGCTCTACATGAAAAGTTTCGGTGCTGCAGACTCAGGTCGTAGATGCATTGCAGATCGTAAATCTTATAAACGCTTCGCCCGAGCCCCAAGTCCCACACTCCACACCCCAGCAAAAAAGCCGAACTTCAGTGCTTATCATCAGCTGCCCTAAGCCCTAAACCCTACACTTGACCGTAAACCCTAAACCACTAAACCCTAAACTCTAGGCCCCAAGCCCTAAACGTGACAGTAAACCCTAATCCCTAAACCACTACAGCCTAAACTCTAAGCCGTAAACCTTAAACTTGACGGTAAACCTCGGGTTGAGGGGTTTGACTTAAACTGCAACTATAGAACTTTGAGTAAAGATCACGCGAGGTCTTGATCTACGACTCCTCCGCAGGCACAGTCGGGGGGCTCTTCATGGATGTGTGGGCCTTAATGACTACCTATACTAACTTGGGGTTCCTTATTATATTATAATATACCCCAAGACCCTATAGTAATCATCGAGGCCTTTATATTTCTAGTACCCTTTTAGATCCCTTACTGTAGCCCTTAAAGTCCCCTTCGAAGGAACCCTACTCTATTTATTATTCGATGCTTGGGCCGTGCCGGTCTCGCTTGTCAAACCTCATCTGTTTAAAGACCCAAAAAGCACCATAAGCATAAGCGCTTTATAGGGATATCCATACCTTTTTGGGCTTCATTATAAAGGGGTTTGTATGGGACACCCCTATACTCATTCTTGCTTATGTGCTTTTTTGGGGCCCTATCTGTGTTGATGAAACTCTGCTCATGTCGCTGACAGGGAGGTTCGGCCTTAAATACGATAAAAACTGAGCATCATACGGTTGATGATATAAACCCTGCATCACCCATAATAGGGAATATACCATAGTTCCCATAGTTTAGGGTCCTTAAGGTAATGCAGGGTTTATATCATCAACAGCATGTCAGCCCTGCGAACCCCATAAAGCTCTATTCTCCGGCAAAACCTACAAGCCCTTGTACCCTACCCAGGGGCCCCAAAGTAGTTCCTTTTTAGGTAGTATCTTAAAGTCCCTAACCAAAAAAGAGGACACACCCAAAAAGGAACTACTTTGGGGCCCTTACCCTCAAGCATCCATCTGCCCAAATAGTATAGTGTATATACTTTGGCCTTAAAGTAGTCCCTATATCGGGCCTTTGGGGCCAACGTATTTACTGTTTGGGTACATGGACCCTTATAGAGTCCCTAAACCCGAAACCCTAAACCTCAACGCTTACTCGGGGCAGGGGACTTCGTAAGTGGGTTATAAGTAGAGTTAGAAGTACCCAAAATGGAGTTCCCCCAATTATAACCCTACTTATAACCTTACTTACTAAGTCCGCTGCCCTTCCAAGTAGGGTTACAGAGCCCTCAGCGGAGGAATTCTCCGCATTCCTTCCTAATTCGGCCGTCAGGGATTAGTTGGGCGGTTTGGGTCAGGTTTTGGGTTCACGACTTTAGGGTTTAGTAATGTAGGGTTTAGAGATGTTGAGGGTTTCGGGTTTAGGACTTTAGGGTTTAGGGTTTTTGAGATTTTGAGGGTTTCGGGTTTGGGACTTCAGGGTTTAGGGTTCAGGTTGTTGGGCTCAGGTTTTTGGTTGACATGGCAGGTTCGCCGATTCAAGGAATCGTCGCTGCGCAGTGCCTGGGCAGTCAAGAGTAGGTTTTTGCAAGCATTCCACGCATGAAGTGACAGTACAGAAGCCAGACGGTAACATCATTCCGTAGGTTCTGTCAGATCTCAAGAAAGAGTTCTTGTACCGAACCCCCTTCCGATTCAAAAGATCCAATAATGTCCGCAGCCGCATGAGCCCGAGACCCATAAACCTAAAACGTCTAACAAGCGCAAAATGTCTACATCCAAGCCGCTTACTCCCCAACGCCCTAAGCAACCAGACGCCCTAAACCCGAAACCGATCTACAGATGCTCGATAATGTGAGCGCAACGCCAAGGCTTTCAAACATGGAAAGGAGTCAGAAATATACAGTTTTGGGGCTTCTTACCTATCGGGGTGGGTGTTTCTTGTTGACAGTTCTTCGTATGATGAATCTAGTACATGGTTTTCAATATTTGGATCCTTTATTTGCTGAAACTGCCGTTTTGAGCTGCAGTATGAACAAATTATGATACATGACTCTCTGTTGATGCAGATGTATACCCTTCAGGAATCAAGCCTTTATCAAGGAGTCAAGGAGCATATAAGTCATTCTAGTTGTCGGGACCTAAACGCCTCCGAGGCTGGCGCTCCGAGAGTCCTCAGCTTTGAAACGCGAAGCCTTTACCTCTAAACCGAAAGCCTAAACTGTTGGGGTTTAGGGTTTAGGGTTCTTATCATGAAGCCCCGAGCCCCTAAACCCAGAAGCCCTTACCCTAGGCATCTAAGGACTCATATATTAAGGCTTTTGGGCCCAAAGGCCATATTATGCAGGCTTTTGGGCTATTTTGATGCCCAGGGTTTTCAGGCTTCTGCAGAGCCCTTGAAGGGTTTATGGTTCTTACCATGAAGCCCCGAACCCCTAAACCCAAAAGCCCTTGTAAGGCTTCTGCAGAGCCCTTGAAGGAAGCCTCAAAGTGAACCCTGAGGCTGATGATCGCCAGCATCCCTGGGATCGTGGGCACGCCGACGGCAGCGGCCCAAGCAGTGACATCATATGGGAGTTTCCGAAAATTAGGGGTACCTTTAAAGGGATCCATAAGGGTTCCTTTAAAGGGATCCATAAGGGTTCTATAAAGGGTTTAGGGTTTAGAGTTTCCGAAAATTAGGGGTACCTCAATTTGGGGTCCTTGTCAAAAGGATCCTACTATTCAGGGTACTATGTTAGGGTCCCCTATTTTCGGAAACCCCCATATGGGAGTCTGAATAGTTACTTGGATTTGGGTTTGGGGGGTACATGATGCAAGGAATGGCGCATACAAGCAGACATCCTCACCTCCCAGTCTTCCCTCTAAACCCTAAACTTCGGTTCCGTAAACCCCTAAACCCTAAACCCCTAAACCCGAAACCTTAGACGACTAAATCGTAAACCCTCCGAAATCCTAAACCCCTAAACCCGAAGCCCTAAACCCTAAACCCTCCATCCGCAGGAGACTTCCGACTCGGATTCTGCAGACGGAAAAGGGCCCTTTAAACAAAAAAAACACAAAAACCCTCAATCCTGTGGGTTGGAAGAGCTGCAGCTGCCAGCTCGTACCAAGGTTCTTGGCCTGGGCGGCGTCCAGGCAGAATTTCCCTTAGCTCTCTCTTCAAGCTTTAGGGTTTAGGGGTTAGGGTTTAGGGGTGTAGGTTAGTTTCAATTTCCAGCGACACAACACCCTATCAAGCTTTAGGGTTTAGGGGTTAGGGGGTTGGGGGTTTAGGTTAGTTTCAACTTCCAGCGACATAACACCATAAAACCTGCACCCTAATCCCGAAAAGTTACCACATTCTGGGCCCTTCGTTTCTAGCCAGGATGTTGCAGACGGAAAAAGGAGCTCAACACAAAAAAATAAGTTACCACACTCCCAGACCCGAACCTGGCTATCACCGGAGAACTCAGCCATCGGGCTTCAGAATCGGCCTTACTTGGACGGCCAGGGGACTTAGTAAGTAAGGTTATAAGTAGGGTTATCATTGGGGTAACTCCATTTAGGGTACTTATAACTCTACTTACAACCTACTTACTAAGTCCCCTGCCCCTCCAAGTAACTCTGGAACTTCGTCCATAAAGCATTTGCTCTTTTGCTACGAGCCCCACGTCTACTTCAAGCTTCAGCCTGTCACTCCATGGTTCTGAAAGTGTAGGACTTTGGTGTCTGAGCCCCTCAGTTCCAACCCCTGAACCCTAGACGCCAAGCCCGCTGGATTTTGGGAACTTTGGAGACTGGTGTCATGGCTGGATTGAGGGAAGAGAGAAGCCTTCACCTAACCTTGCAAGCAACAACAGAACGAGGCACACCGTAAGCAGGCGCCAAACGGTATACACTTCTACGTGCACACGTACGCATCCACATCCACATATCCATGCATATCCATCCATCCATCCATCCACCCATCCATACATACAGACACATACGCGCAACCTGCAATCAGCTGGTTCGGAAAACTAGTAACTAGTGTGGGATCTGGCAGCTAAGGTATGATGTTCCAGGTGTTTTTTTGCACGCATACAGGATTCAGGGTTGGGAACACCTCCGCAAGGCCTTGCATGCAAGAGCAGAAATCCTTCTCCAGAGGTGCCACAGCCGTCAAACCAAACCTGAACCCCAAATGCCCTGAGCCCAGCCTCCAACCGTTTGAGCCCTAATGTAGGAACCTGGTTAAGAAGCACTGGCCCCATAACCCCCAACATATTGGGATCCACCTGATAAGGACCCAAGGTTTCTTAATCAGGTTCTTATATTAAACCCTGAACCCCACCAAAACCCTCTGAACCCTAAACCCGGAACCTTAAATCCCTAAACCCTGGACCCCACAAGCCTTGCCTGCAGGCACCAGTGCTCGGCTACCAGCCGGTCGCGGGCTCGACCCATTGCTAAAGCTTGCCAGGAGGGGTTCAGGGTCTAGGGTTTCGGGTTTAGGGTCTGGAGTGTAAGGTTTAAGGGTCTGGGGTTGAAGGGTTTGGGGTTTAGGGTCTAGGGTTTAGGGTGGTTTGGGTCTGGGGTGTAGTGGTTTGGGGTTCGGGGTTTAGGGTCTAGGCTATAGGGTTTGGGGCTCAGGTTTGGCGTTTAGGGTCTGGTTTAGGGTTTAGAGGGTCCAGGGTTTAGCCCGTGCGAGAAAAGTCAAGGGAGACCACAGTCCACCCTTTTTACCAGGCGCTGGGTCATTGGTATTACAACTAGGTAGGGCTTTGGGACATTTTATATTTTCCCTTATTGGGCTTAAGGGGATCCTATTTAGTAATATTTTTCAAAGGCTTTAAAAGCCCCGCCTAGACAAAGTCGACAGGTTTTGAGGAGCTTTGGGGTTTGGGTTTGAGGGGCTTTAGGGTTTTGGTTGGGCCCTGTCAGGGCAAGAACCGGCTACATGGGACTTGCAGAGAATAGGGCGGCTGAACTGACACCCACACCTCGTCCTGATTGTGCAAGCACCTATCAACTAGTCACTGTGTATATAGTATTGAGAAACTTTATCAATTGCAAACCCCAAACCTTCAACCCCAAACCGTGCGAATACCTGAATATTCCTGACATCAGGCGATTCATCCGCGCTTGCCCAGGTGACATTCAGCTGCGTCAGGGGAGCCACCTGCCAGATCCGCATTCCAGCCCAGGGCCTGATTGTTACCTTTGCTGCTTAAGGTTTCACAAAGAAAGGGTTTAGGGTTGCGGGTTGAGGGTTTAGGTTTAGGGTTTATAGGACTTTTAGGGTTTTAGGGTGTTTTAGGGTTTAGGGTTTAAGGCTCAGGGTTTTTGGGTTTGAGGGGTTTCTTTAGGGTTTCTTTAGGGTTCAGGGTGCGCCAGAGGTGGGAGGTGGCGGAGTCGAAATGAGGCTCTTTCTGAAGGGAACCTACATCCTACCTTCATCCCACCTTTTAAGGCACCTAATTGTTGAGGTGTTAGAGTGTAGGGCTGTAGGGTTTAGGGTTTTGGGGTTTAGGGTTTGTTGGGCTCGGGGCAGAGAGTCCTACTATTTCGTGTCTAGGGCCCAGGGTGATGCATACCCACGGGCTCTGCAGAAACTTTCGTAGAGGCCCCGGTACTTGAAGGAGTGTAACCGGGGCCCTCAATTTCTTTTGGCTTGAATAGCTCAGCAGGGCAGGGGACTTAACCCGAAGGGTCCAAAGGACTCAAGAAGTCGGTACTCAGGCTTCGGATAGTCGTTATTTAGGTTACTATTTGGTAGAAATTATATGATAGTTAGTATACTTGGACCCTTAGGGTTAATAACTGAGTGAGAAGCCGAATGATTGGATAATGGGCTTATGTACCCGAAACCCTAAGCCTGAACCCGGAGTATTCTATCAGGAACCCTCAGGACTAGGTAAGTAGCGATTTGAGGCGTAGGGCTTATAAGTTCTCGACTATGTAGCACTATCATATTTCTCGTTACATGTTGTTTTCTGAGCAAACAAACTGATACCCTGATGCCCTAGACCCTACCGCCAGCTAATCCAGGTATCACTCTGAACCCTAATGCCTTAAACCTTAACCGTTAACCCTTAACTGTTAACTCAAACCGCGGAAGCGTCGTAGGCACGGTTGCCAACAAAATTTGAATTATCGGCCCCAAGATATCCTACGACCGCCCTCTGCAGGATATTAATGTTTCGATGCTTCAAACCGGCTAGTAGCCCGAATGAATCCAAAGGTTGTTCCCTAGGCTTCCGGATTGAATCAAACCCTGTTCTAGTTGTTCAAGCGCCCTATCTTGCCCGTCTCCCACACGTTCCTTCATAACAACTTTGCAACACGCACGGAAGAGCATTATAGTTATACGGAAACAAATTCACAATCATACTCACTACTAACAACAGTAATCATTATCGCCGCTATCGTCGCTGACGTCATCATGACTGGAGTACCCAGTTTTTTCAAAAGCAGCAATACCCTCTTCTCTTCTTTGCCATCCCCTGACAAGAGACCTACCATGTCTAGTTCCAGTTTTCGCCAAAGTCAGGATTTGTTTGGTTTTGGGTTCGGGGGTGATGTTGCTGGAGAATGGGTCGCAAATCTCAGAAGGCTTCGCCCATGTTAGATGGACAGAATTTCACCGCCGGCTTGATTCCCAAAGCCCTACTCCCAGGCCGCAAATGGTACGGGAGTCGTGCCGTCCGGATCGAGTTCGCTTCTAGTTGTTGCAGGCGCGGTTTGAGCCTTCTGCCGCAGTCCTTGGCCCCACAGACCCTAAACCCTACAAAGGAGGCCTAAGCCTTCAAGCTCCTAGACCTGAAACCCTAGGCTTCCGTTTTCGGATATGAGAATCGTGAGCCCGGGTTGGGGTTAGTGGGCTTTTCCCGAGCTCAAACTTGCGTGGTCGACTCTTGTAGGGCCCTGGGGCGCCCTGGTATTCTGCAAGCACCGGTTTGCTGCTGCTTTGAAGATGCCACGGTACTGAATAGAGGAGGTCCAGACCTTCAGCTCCCTGTGGCAGAAGACCGCGAACCGTAGGTAGCAGGAGGATGTAGGATGGGTTGGAAATATTAGTTATGGTATTCCCCTACCGTCCCATAATACCTATACACTTACACTACATGCCCCAACCCGCTCCCACACACAAAATGGTTTCTAATTACTAAACTATTAAACTCCAGGGGAGGATTGAGGGTTTGAGGCCACCCAGTACCTACACCTGAAGTTCGGAACGCCCAAATACTAACCCGCCTCTACCACGACAGCTCTAGCTGTCCGAAATTCAACGGCGCACCCAATCAAGAAAATACCCCCCCATTGTCCACAGTATATGGGTGTTTTGGGTTCGATCTGGGTTTTAGGATTTAGGGGTTAGAGTTTTGGAGTTCAGTTTAATTAGGGCTTTGGGGTTTAGAGTTTGCAGTTTCAAGGAGGGTTTAGGAGTCTGTGGTGCAGTGATTTGCTTCGGTCGCTCTCTCTCTCTCTCTCTCTCGCTCTCTCTCTCTCTCTGGGCAATGCTTTCGTGCTTTGTTGTGACATGTGTGTTTCTTCCTCACTGTATCTTTCGTTCTTGTGTGTCGTCCGTGCTAGACACGAAACCCCTGTTGAACCCCTTAAGCACCGCGCTGAAAGAACCTTCAGCGAAGCCCTTAGAGGAACTCCAGAAAGAAACGAACTCTAAAGCCCCAGGAATAAAACCCTAAGGCCCTTGAGCCCCCCCCCCGCCCCCAAAGGCTCCATGTACATTTATAGTAGATACTTAAGCCTCAAAGGGGTCCCTAAATAGGTACTTTAAGGCCTAAGTATATACTATATGGGTACATGAAGCCTTAAACCCTAAACCCTTATGAATGATACCCTTGAAGGAACCCTTAAAGGAAGCCTTAAAGGAACCCTTCTTGGAACCCTTAAAGGAACCCTTAAAGGAACCCCTACTATGGGTACATGGTGCCTTAGGCTGAACCCTTTAGGGTTTAGGGTTTAGGGCCCTTTCTAAGTTCTGATGCACAGGTGAGACAACCTGTGGATCGACTTCTCTTCAGGTCACCCCCCCCGAGTTGCAGCATTCAGTGAGTACTCTTGAGGGCTTTAGGGTTTTCATGGTTACCGTTTAGAGCTTTAGGGCGTGTGTGTTTTAGGGGTTTCGGATTTTCGGGTTTAGGGGTCAAGGGTTTAGGGTGCACTTGCAGATTGAGTATGAAGTTGTGTATTGGGGGGGGGCTTGAAACAAGCAGCTTTGGATTGTCATGGTTGTTGATTAGATTGTTGTATGCAGTTGAGTTGTCGTACTTTATGGCTAGGGCGAGGAGTTTGTGATGCAAAAAGGTTACGGCTACGGGTCGAAGTTGTATTTAAGGTAAGTAGCAAAGGAGTTTCCTTACGTGTCTGACTGTCCCTGCGCTTGGGGTGCATGCCTTTGGGTTCTTTTTGGTCCATATCCCTCAACCACATCTAGCGAATGCTTCTATGCAGCATCTACAAAGGGCTCACAGGGGTGGAGGTCCATAGACAAGCTCATGCTCACGGCGTAGGGTTTAGGGTTTAGGATTAGGGTTTAGGGTGTGTCATGCTCAAGGTAGAGCATCTGTGCCTGCCTGATGAAGCAGAGACTATGTTACGGTTTCCTCCGGGTTTAGGAAGCCCACCGAAATGGTAGCCGAAACCCTGCACGTATCAGCCCTGAAACTTAAGACTGCAACTATTATTATTATGATTATGATTATTATTATTATTACTACCACTACTGCTGCTGCTACTGCTGCTGCTGCTACTACTACTACTACTACTTCTACTAGTACTACTACTACTTCTACTTCTACTATGGTACTAGTACTACTAATAATACTACTTCTACTGCTACTACTACGACGACGACGAGGACGACGCCGGTGACGATGCCGACGACGACGACGATGACGATCGACGACTGCTACGAGGACGACCACATTTCTTCTCCTACGCTCTTTACCATTCGTACTAAGCATGAACTTCTGCAGGAGCTGGCAACGCTGCCGAGAGCTGCGACCGGGGTGTTGGCAAGCAACCCAGCCGGACACCAAGTTGATATCGAGCTTCACAGGCTTCCCCGAAACCCTGAACCCGAAACAACTGCAGACGGAAAAGGGCCCAGAAAAAAACACAAATAAAAATAAAACAAATAAAACCCAACCATGTGAAAGGTTCTTTTGGAATTCTTTGTTCGATTGTTCGAAGGGAGCCATTAATTAAGGTTCCGACGGTACCTACTCGTTCGGTGCTCGGGTTTAACTTAGGGGTACTAGAACGTGTGAGCTACTATTCGAAAGGAAGGTATGATTGTTAGGCCTGGAACCGAAAAAATACGCACCTCTACTCTCCAACGGTGATGTTTGATGTTCTTGTCTGATACCAATCATCTTTTCAAGGGGGAAGAAGAATGCCTAATCAGTCATTTGTGCGACGTTCTATGTGAAGGGCTCACCGGTGATCCTAACATTATCAGTAGCCCAGATTCTGGGATGGGCACGGGTCGACTCTTTGCCGCCCTAACCCCACATGCCTGAATACCAAAACGCAGGATGTAGACGGCCACTACTAAAGTTTCCTGGGACCCATGTTGTCGCCTTTAAGGAACCCCTAAAGGAATCTGATTTAGAAAATACTCCGATTCAGTCGAAAGAGGTCGATGCTTCCTCACCCTCGGCAACCTCCGTCCGCCTGGTGTCCCTGGGAGCTGTGGGCTCAGTCTGAGAGGGAATTATGTGCAAACCGAAAGAAGGTGTCGTATGGATGCATTGTGGGTTTCAGCGGGGCTGCTGTAAACTTGCGAAAACTTCGAGCCGTAGTTGCATTTAAGTGATACGTTTAGGGTTCCATTCAGGGTACCGGGACATCTGCGCTCGCCGAGATCCCCAAACCCATTAATCAAGGAATGCACCCTCAAATTGTATAGGATCCGTAATATAAGGAGTGCGACAAGGAGTATTCCTTAGTTGAGGAGATTTGGAGTTTTGAGGAGATTTGGGGTTTTGGAGTCTTTGGATACTCTCCATTCTGGATTCGAACTCCCTGCTTCACAACGCTTACAGCGTCCCTAAGGGCTAGGTAAACCTGAAGCCTTCAGCCCTGCAAACCTCAAGTCCCACTGCCTTCGCCATTCGCTGCCTCCAAACTCCCAAATGCATCACCAACCTAGCACTCCTTAGAATAATGCTTAGATAGCGAACGGGGGAACTTTAAACTTTTTGGCCGTATATATTAGCTCTATCTTAGAAAGTTTGAACTTTTTGGGGCCCGGTTGTTGAAGAAGAGAGAATGTATTTGCCTGGCAATACTGACAGTTTCATACTTACAGTTTCATAGTGAGTAAGTAAGTGGTAGTGTGCTCCCGTACAATCCTTTGTAGTATCCTTATATACTTTCAAAAGAACCTTTGCAAAGCACTTTGGAGGGAACCCTTAAAACAGATCGGAGCCTTTGAATAAGCCCTTGGAAGAGCTACCTTATACCCTATAAGCCCTCATTCCGAAACCCTAAACCCTGCTTTCTAAACCCTAAACCCTAATTGCCAAACCTTAAACCCTCATTCCTAAACCCTATTTCCTAATTCTTAAACCCTAATTCCTAAACCCTAAACCCTAATTCTTAAACCTTAACTCCTAAACCGTATTTCCTAAACTTCTTAAGCCCTAATTCCCAATTCCTAAATCCTAAACCTTAAATCCTACATCCTAATTCCTAAACCCTAATTCCCAAACCCTAAACCTTATTCCTAAACCCTAAAACCTTAATTCCTAAACCTTAATCCTAAACCCTAATTACCAGACCCTAAACCCTAATTCCTAAACCCTACACCCTATCCTACCGAGGAACCCATCCTCGAGGGCAGCTACACGCTGTGCTTCTGCGCCGGCAGCGACAGCGGCAGGCGCGGGGGGTGTTGGGAGCTTTGCAGTTGTTATATATATATATATATATATATGTAGATAGGGTCCTTCCTTCAGGGTTACATAAACTAGTTTGGGTGTTCCTTATAGTATAATATACCCCCCAAAACCCTTGTTCAAAACACTGAGGCCCCTACATTATTTGGGATGCCTTGAGTTTAGGGTTAACGGTATTGGATGCCTTGAGCTTAGGGCTACACTACAGGTTTCGAGTATTGTTTATAGGTGTAGAGGGTCGAGAACTTAGTGGAGGTTGGATTCGCGGTTTATTTCGAGTTTGTTTCAAGAATGTGCATGGTTTTGGGATTTCAGGATTGAATTTAGACGTACCACTTCAGGTGGTTTAGGATCAGAAATTTCGCTGGGCAGTGTCGGCTCAGGAATTAATAGTAATACTATCCCGAGATGCTCCTTCCATGTCTATCTGTCTATCTATCTATCGATCTATCTGTATATGCATATGTCTGTATATATGTGTTATATAGAATCCTCGTAGAACTCTTACAGCACCCTGGTAGAAACGATTTCGACCATGTTCTGACAGTCCCTGTAGAACTATGCGCAAGCAAACCCCCAAAATTACTGAAAAGGCACCGATCAAAACGACCCTGATATGAACCCTGTAACGGCCGAGAATCCTGCGGTCCCATGTTTGACCCGCAAGAAGCCCCTAAACGCTAAGCACCCACCGACCCACTTACTTGGAGGGCCAGGGGACTTAGTAAGTAGGTTATAAGTAGAGTTTTAAGTACCCTAAACAGAGTTACCCCAATTATAACCCTACTTATAACCTACTTATTAAGTCCCCTGCCCCTCCAAGTAGACCCTAAACCCTGAACCCCATAGATCCCTTTAAGGAACCCGATAGATCCCTCTAAGGAGCCCTTTAAGAACCCTTACTAAGCACCCACCCACCCACCCACTTACCCTTCCACTCCAGTGGCGCCTGTGCCCTTGACCGCGATTTCTTCAGCCTTGTCCGGGGCCTCGGTAACTTTTCATGAGCCCTAAGGCTCGTTGTACCCATATAGTGTATACTTAGGCCTTCAAGTACCTATATAGGGACCCCTTTAAGGCTTAAGTATCTAATATAAAGGTACATGGATTCTTTTGGGTTTAGTCGTTTTTGGTGTAGGTTCATTACGAATACAGTGGAATATGGTATACGCAGTTGCTTAGCAAAGCCTTTCAAGTCACCTCCATCGTTCTATCGATTTCCATTACCCTGACATTCGATCTTGGTGTCGCGTTTACACTGAAGCATTTGTTTGAAGAACTGGTGCCTTCCCTGGAAAGCATAGGATATACTTGGGTGGTTGTCAAAATTATGGTCCCTTTTCGGGTACCTTAAATATTAGGTGCCGTATTATAATAAGGACCCAAGAAGGGACCATAATTTTGGCAACTACCCACTTAGAGCATTTGGGTTCACGAGTGCCCGAGGTGGGAAGTCTCACCGTTCGAGGGCCGGCGGCAAGCAACGCCCTCTACTGCGCCGGAGACTCGGTAGCTGCGGCTACGGCTACTTGGAGGATCATGGGACTCAGTAAATAGGGTTATAAGTACCTTAATTGGGGTTATAAGTAATTGTAAGTATAGTTACCTTATTTATAACCCCAGTTACGAAGTCCCATGATCCTTTAAGTAGGCTTTATGAGGCTGTGTAGAGAGTTATTCGGCTTTAGAAGGGTGCCTACTGGGTTCTAAAGCAGTACTTCTTGGTGAAAGCTTCCACCACCTTCGGATTCGGTCTCTTGGGAGGTTTAGGCATCTGGATTTCAGGGGGTTTGGGTTTGAGGAAGGTTTGCTCGCAGGATCTTTTGACTTCGCGAACTTGTCTTTGTCGGATGATGACTGGAATGCACTCAGGGTTCCGATTCAGGATATCTCCAACCCGTTTATGGCCGACTTGCTAGGTCCTCTGAACTGGCAAGTGACTAGGACCCAGAGTAGGCCCTTATTCCCTTTTTTAGGGTTCAGGTTCCCTTATAAGCCCCTTTAAAGCAAAAAGGGCACCCTTTTTTATTCCTGGGTTACTCTTAGGCCCAGGTGATATCGAAGCTTATTCCGAAACCTTCAGCCTAAGAGTCTCATGGTTTAGGGTTCCTTTAAAGGGGGACTATAAGGGCTCCTTTAAGGGCTCCTTTAAAGGGGCTCTATGAGGGTCTAGGGTTTAGGGTTTAGGGTTTCCGTGAGGACATCCTTTAAGACCCTAAGCCCTATGAGCCCTTCAAGACACCCAGCCGAAGCTCCGAGGTGGTGTCCCAGAACTGTTCCCTGGCTCTATGGGGCGTGGAGCTTTCTGTATGGGATTGGATCCTGGTGAGAGAGGAAGGATCAGGCCAGACAGGGGTTCAGCGTTTTCTCAGGGGGGGGTTATATAGGGTTTAGTTTAGGGTTGAGGTTGGGTACGGCCCCCACTCAATAATAGTTGAATAATATTCATAAATAAATAAATATATAAATATGTGTGTGTGTATATATATATATATATATTAGGACCTTAATTTTAGCCCGTAATAGTTGAATAATATTCATAATATAGATATATTAGTACTAGTAGCCCTATTATAGGCTCTTGCTGTATGGGGGCGGTACCTAGGGTTTCGGGTTCAGGGAGGAGACCTTTAAATCGAATCTAAGCAGCAGGGTCCCTATTGCAAAAATCGAGACTAGGGTGTCCCCTCAAAGATCTTAAACCGCAATCTTGCAAGGCCTTCTAAGGACTGAAAGGTTTACAAGCACATCGCGCACGTCGGTGCGACATGAGACGCTTGATACTTGCGAGATGAGATGGTCATCATGCACCCTACTGTGAAGCCGTGAGGTATCCTGAATGCCACATCCTAAACCTTCCAGCCGAAATACTCGTCTCCGAAGAGCACGCTTCTATAGAGATTCGAAGCTAAACATCCCGAGGCATAAATCTCAAAACCTGAAGACTTAACAACAAAGAGGTGTCTGTTCCGTATGGCATTTTCAACCTCGTTGCAAAATCCGAGGTTCCCCAAAAAGGCCGAAACGATCCGTCAATGAAGCAAAAACAGAGAGTTTAGGTGGTTTTAGGTTTAGGGTTTGAGGATCGGGTTGAAGTGCCCCAACCCGATTTCGTCAGCAATTCTTGGCCGCAGGCAGCTGTTTCGACTCGAGCCGCGTTGGATTCCAGGCAAGCACCCATGCCTGGGTTTCGCTGAAAAAAGTTTAAAATGCATGCTAAAAGGGTTCGTGTGGTGGGTGGGGCTGTTTCACCATGTTTATATAACCCTATACCCAAGAACCTACATTGGCATTGAGTTTCAGGCGCTTGGTGACAGTTTCTTCAGGGTTCAGCCACCAAGGAGGCGTCCAAATCCGACAGAGTGGATCCCCACCATAACGGATGACCCAGCGTAGGCTTGGAGGAAGGATTGGGGGGATGAGCTTAGTTTTGGCCTGACTTTCAGGGTTGCACAAGCGCCGACCTCACATCAATGGAGCTTATTGGTTCTTAACCCAAACCCTCGACCCTCAAGCCTCTACCCTCGGCCCCAAAGCCCCGCACTCTAGGGCCTCATCCGAGATCCGGAGCTGGAAACCTCCATGAAAAAACCCAGAAAAGCTCTAGGGCCCAGACTAGGCCCTTATTCCCTTGTTTAGGTGTAGGTTCCCTTATAACACCCTTTAAACCAAAAAAGGGCACCCTTTTCATTAGTAGGTTACTCTTAGGTCTAGAGAAAAGCTGCTGCGTTGACAGACCCCAAGCCTTTTGAGGCCTCTGACAAGTTCCTGATCAATCCGGCCGGCTTGCCGCAAGAGGACGGGAAGACTGCAATCATCCTTATCAGTTGTTCGGGCTAAGTGGCTGAGGATCTACATGAACTATAAAGCCCTAGACCCCCGAAGCCCTGAGCCCTAAATCCGGAACACTTGGGCATGTTCAGCACACCCCGGTTCGGATGCAGCAACTTTGGACCCGACACAACCTGCAAACTGTGGGAGTCGCGGCACAGAAATTTAACGACTGTCAGAGAGAGACAGATAGAGAGAGAGAGAGAGAAAAAGAAAGAGAGAGATAAAAAGAAAGAGAGAGAAAAAGAGAAAGAGAGAGAGAGAGAGAGAGAGAGAGAGAGAGGACGAAGGCAAGGTTTCGGGAGAGAGCAAAGAACACCTTTCGGCTGCACCCCACGCCCTGGTCCTGCCCGGCCCCACCCCAAAAGCCTAAACTCTAAAACCCTAAACGCCAAAACCCTGAACCCTGAACCCTAACACCCCAAACCCTACCACCCTAACCCTAAAACTCTGAGCCCTAAAACCCTAAAACCTAAAACCCTAAAGCCCTAAAACCCTAAAACCCTAACCCCCCCTGCCCCCGTGTGCGGCTTAAACCGGGTTTATTTGGAAGCTGGCATTCGTATATTTAGATAGGGAAAAGTGACCTAAATCCGTAATATATACATGGCAGGGCAGACGTTCAAGCCAACAACCTGCCCGTGTTGCCCATGGCGTCGTTTCGACAAAAGGGCACATCTGATGCAACATCTGCAGTTTCAACATGTCACCAATAAGCGCTTCTGCCCTCCCGGTACCAAGCAGCTGCGGATCCCGGTGAGCATATACGATCAGGACGCACTTCGAGGGAAAGTCATGGAACCGAACTTTCTCTCGCGGTCCGCAGCCATCATGCGAGCGGACGTGCTGCCTCCGATCCCGACCAAGTATGTGTTCGTCGACAAGACCGTCAGGTACGTCTTCACAGAAACTGGTCCCATTATCATGGCGCTGCACACCATTAAATCGCGGTCAGATCTACGGCGTCTAGGCAATCTATACTACAACCGTGGCTTTGCTTGCCTATTTCTGAAAGCCGCCGCTACAAACAACGCCTCCCTCCACAGAATCTACACGGACGTGATCGGTTCCTGTACTAGACATGAGGGTCAACTCGTTTCGCTTATTCCCAGAGCAACCAATGGATTCTGGACTAATGTCATGGAGGACCTCATGCAGTCACCTTCGTTGGTATCTTATAAGGAGGGGTTGTTCACGCAGTGCTTCGAGAATGAGGAGTTCGACTACATTAGTATTGATGCCACCTTCAAAATCAATTTGAAGGTTATTGGGCAGGCAAACTTCCATTCGTCCCAATCTTCTCGAGATGCAGCAGCCATTCCGGAATCAGAAGCCGCATACCGCACGCTCACGTGTGGGGGGCGCACGGGTGCTACCCTTCTGGTACGCGTGGTCCGCTCCGAAAAAGCCTCTGTGGTTGCTCAGACGCTTCAAGATGCACTACCACAGCATCACCGTGATCAAGTCCGGCATCTTGCCTCCGATGCTCCGTCTGTGGAGATGCATCGAGTTCTTCAAGGTGCTCTTCCTGGTCTTCGCAGCCTTTCCTTGGATGCCATGCACATCGTCATGGTGTATGAGCAGGACATGAATAACAAGAAGACCTCAGGGAGCAAATGGCTGGCGATGACTATGGACAAGTTCCGAAAGCGAGACCCGAAGCGGTCCGCAAGTAGCTGGGGGCCAGTCTATGAAGGGCAGGTACTTCCACAACCGAGTGCCAGCGTCCGCTCCATGCGAGCACGGCTGGAGACTCCTGACATGTCGTACTTACAGGCCTACAACCACTTGGAGCAGTTGAAACCTGATCAGCCATGGCTAACAGAGTTGGAATTCCTACATGCAGTGCTGGCTCCTTTGTCCATGTTCCATGAGGAGACTGCAAAGAACACATATTGTGGGGCAACACTTCATCGTCTGATAGTCAATGTGGCTTCCCCGACGAAGTTCCAATGGCTTCTCAATGATACGCGGTATCGCCATTCGGTCCCTCGTGAACGACTCGTGCTGCTGCCCAGCGGCACAACCTCCAACGAGAGTCTGCATCATGAGCTGAACCATTGGTTCCGTGAAACGGTGACTCGGTTGCAAGCGGTATACATCATATGCAATTCATGTATAGTTGTATTGGGATACTCGCGAAGAATGCTTGAAGGCGGTGATGCACAAGGCCACTCTGATCCTGAAACTGGAATTCTTTCAGTTTGTCAAGATCTTCGCACACAATCAAGCCCTGTATCACCCTTTGCAAAGGCAAGCTGGGCAGTCTGAAATCTCTCGTAGGGCATTCAGTGCGAATATAGAGATGATACTGCCCGTACGGGCCTGGGCAAAGTGGTGTCGCAATCTAGCGAAACCTGGTGCCATTCCCAAAAAAGGCTGCTCTACGTGTGGTGCAGGACGGGAAACGCGTCCGTGCACTTACGAAGAGCAGCAAGGCAGTGTCAGCCTCGAAGACATCCACTCGGAAAGGCAAGAAACAAGAAACTAGCCCCACCGCTACCCAAAAGCGCTCCCACGCTGAGACTCCATTCCGTCTGCGAAATGTGTCTCCGATAATTCGCCCTGGCCTTCGGTCCAAGAGGATCTAGATCACTGGCCGGCAGATCACTCGCTCAGCATGTGTGATGCAAAATGGAGTCTGAGTCTTGCGATTATCTAGCATCTGACGCTACATGAGCATGACTGAGTTCTTGTTACTCTATATCCGCAATTCTTTTCTTCTGAGGTATGGCAGTGAGAGTTTATTTGATTGTACTCAGATGGGAATATGAGCCGGGTCATGTGTTGAGTTTGACAAGCTTGGATACACCTACATCATTTGTGGTCGACCATCGTGTATGTTCTGGATCTAGTCTTGGCAATCGAGTCAGACAACATGATGCTTGATCAGTTTTTGGTTACCTTCTCGAGATGATCGGCTGTGAAGCTGTCCTCTTCCTATGTGATCTGACAGCGAGACTTACGTCAACTGCATTCGAATGGTCGAGAGACCATCGTGTATGTTCTGGACCTAGCCTTGGCAATCGAGTCAGATAACATGATACTTGATCAGTTCTTGCTTACCTTCTGAAGATGATCGGCTGTGACGCTGTCCTCTTCCTATGTGACCTGACAGCGAGAATTACTTCAACTGCATTCGGATGGTCAAGAGAGCCGGTTAAATCTCAGTCATCGGGATTCAACCCATCTCATCTGGTTGTATATAATTAAGTCTGAATGTTTGATGCGATTATTAACTCAACTGATATGATCGATGGACATGTTCATATGCATAACATAAGCAGAAGGTTCATTATCTGGAAAAGTCATCCATCTAGTTCTCGACGTAACAACAGCATACCTTCGTGAAAGCATATCCAACAGCTTCAAAACCCGAGTGCCAGCTTCCAAATAAACCCTATTCAAGCCACCCACCCCCTGCCCCCCCCCCCCCCCCCCTCCCATACCGTAGACATGGTGGTTGTTGTCGTGGGGTCGAGGCCCAGGTCCTAGTCAGAGACTCCAATATCCCTCAATTAAGAATATACGTTATATAAATCATATTAGGGATCCCTAATATGGTTTAAGGTATATTCCTTCATTACGGGATATTGGAGTCTCTGGGTAGTCCCGGTGGTGTCGTCGACCCTTCGCCACAGAATGCTATAGGGGACGTAACATGAGGAGGGTTCTCTGGTAAAGCGGCCTCAATAATTACCTATACTGTTTGGGAGGTTCCTTGTTATAATTCTAGTATAATGGGCCCCGAAAGCCTATTCTAATTCTTAAGGCCCCTCTTCGCCACAGAGTGAATCTGCGCGCGCACAGGACATACAGCAACAGTGGATTTTTGATCTTGGAACGTCAAGCCAGACTGGGCAGTGACCCTGCAGCGTTCAGCGTCCAGGGCTATAAAGGGCTCGAGAATTTGTTCTACAAGTTTGTCTGGACTTGGCATGTGGGGTCAGGGGTCACGTAGATGGGGTGAAGCCTTTCAGCTCGGAGGAACAGGGTTAGTTGTGACTGTCCGAGGAGCCTCAGGAATCTCTAGAGTAGACAGCCTGCCCTTCTTAACCTCCATATTTCTCTTACCCCAGGGCTTCAAGTATGTAAACAGTACCTACTGTGCGGTCTAAAGTCCGTAAATGCTGCCTATTTTGGGTTTTTGTTGAGCTCCATGTTTGTAGAATGTTACAGCAGAAGCCATGCCCGGTATCTCGCAGCCGCCACGATGCATGCTTTGGGATCCTGACTATCGATTCTTGGGGTTCGTGACATCTCGGAATATTCCTCAAGTCATATTGGGCTTCTGAGCGCTGAAATCTTGAATTTATCTTGTTCTGCTCAGGTCCACTAGGGTCGCAGATCTTCGAGATCGGAAGCCCTTCTTTGGCATTGCGGGTTCGGGGCTCCTTGTAGGTCTCTCGATGTGCTCACGGCTTGAATGGTCAATAGTTCTGTTATGATTATATAGCAGATACTTGCCCTAGAAGCCTAACACCTCAGCCCTTGCCGACTCACCGAGTGTAGGGTTCTCTTACTCCAGCTGCAGGTACCAACTGTGCTACTGTGCGGGCTACAAGGCACCTTGGCCTGAACAGCAAAGACAGTTTCGGCTGACCCTAAGCCGGAAACACTAAACCCCAAACCCTAACGCCAAACCCCAAACTGTACGCCGAAAACGTGTAAGCTTTGGGCATACGCCCAAAGCCCGTCAGCAGTTCTCAACGGGTCCAGAGCACGATTGCTTTAGGGCGTTTGTTTGGGCTTAAAGACCATGCTAGTGAGGAGCAGGTAAACCCTCCAAAATGTAGGGTCCCTCTCTATTAGACACTTTCCCACTGTGAAGTGACGTGGACATTGGAAACTGGGATCACGGTTGCAGCTTTGTGTTTAGCAATTGCCCTCGACCCGTTCAGAAACCCACGCTATATGGGCTTGGGTCATGTCTTAAATTTTAAACCTTAAACCTAATATAGGGGCCTGAGGAATTACCAATACTGCTTTGGGGGCTCCTTATATTCATTATAGTATAGCCGGCCCCAAAAACCTGTGCTAATTATTCAATTAAGGCCCCGAAATTAACCTGTGTGCAACGGAGGCATCGCCTGGCAGCAGCGCTGCGCCCGGGGCTAAGGTCGTTCGGAAGGTTTTCAGGGAAACCACGGAGTAGCATAGGGGCCTAAATGATTACCAATGCTAGTTTTGGGTGGTTCCTACTTTAACGGCTATAGTAATGTAACGGCCCGTTTAATAGTGGGGTACCCCCCCCCCCGACCAAAAAAAAAAAATCTATTTAATATGGAACCGGTAGCCCCGGACAGGGGTCAGGGGTCGGTCTGAGTGGCAGGGAATTGGGAGGTGCCGGGGTTTGGGGGCTGGCTTGGGTGCAGGGTCTGCGGTTCTGCGCGACTGCGCGGTCGGGGGTCGGGGGGGTCTGGGCCAGCGCCTGAAACCCTGAACCCTGAACCCTAAACCCTAACGAATCCTAAACTCCTAGACCCTATAACAAACCCTAAACCCTAAGCCCTAAACCCTTCCAAAGGGGGGTCGGTCCAGATTCGACCCAAAACTTAATTTTTTATACAAACTTTAGTACTGGAGAGGCCTCTTTTGAGCTAGGGTCCAATCCCCGATTCGGCGGTTCACCCTAGCAGCCCCCCCCAATAATCAAGGTATAGTAGAATAGTAGTACAGTAGTAGTACAGTAGTAGTATAATAATAGTGCAGTAGTACAATAGTAATACAACAGTAGTACAGTGGTAGTACAATAGTAGTACAGTAGTAGTACAATAATAGTACAGTAGTACAATAGTAGCACAATAGTAGTACAGTAGTAGTACAGTAGTAGTACGATTATAGTACCGTAGTACAATAATAGTACAGTAGTAGTACAGTAGTAGTACAATAATAGTGCAGTAGTACAATAGTAATACAACAGTAGTACAGTGGTAGTACAATAGTAGTACAGTAGTAGTACGATAACAGTACAGTAGTACAATAGTAGTACAGTAATCGTACAGTAGTAGTACAATAGTAGTACAGTAGTACACTAGTAGTACAGTAGTAGTACCACAGTAGTAGTACAGTAGTAATACAGTAATAGTACAGAAATAGTACCAATAAGCAAAGCATAAAGCCAGTGAGTACATTCCCCCAATAAGCAAAGCATAAAGCCAGCGCCTGAAACCTTAAACCCCGAACCCTAAACCCTAAAGAATCCTACACTCCTAAACCCTATAACAAACCCTGAACCCTAAGCCCTAAACCCTTCCAAAGGGGGGTCGGTCCAGATTCGACCCAAAACTTAATTTTTTATACAAACTTTAGTACTGGAGAGGCCTCTTTTGAGCTAGGGTCCAATCCCCGATTCGGCGGTTCACCCTAGCAGCCCCCCCCAATAATCAAGGTATAGTAGAATAGTAGTACAGTAGTAGTACAGTAGTAGTACAGATTTTCATTCCTGACGCCCCAATAAGCGAAACAATTCTGCAAGAGATTTTCGGGCTTCAGGGCCAGGGTTTTAGGGTTGGGTGGGGGTTTGGGTGGGGGTTTAGGTCGTGGCTGCCTTAAGATTGACCATCAGCAAATAGCACAGCCCCGCCACCAAAAAATCACCCCAGCCAAAAAAAAACGCATTAATTAGAACAAGCCAATTTTTTTGTCAGATTCGGAATTAGCCCCCGAGCCGACGCATTAAAGGAGCCCATATTCCTAAACGGACCGTTACATTATTTTGGGCTCCAAAACCCTATTCTTATTATTAAGGCCCCTACATCAGAAAGAATGTTCTTCAACTGGTAACTACAAGCCCGTCTACACAATTGCAGTAAAGTGTCCTTTATGTAAGGGGCTTTGAAGTCTCTGGCCCTACGCCCGAACCCTAAAAGCCGAAACCCCAAACCCGTAAACCCTAAACCCTAAAACCCTAAACCCTAAAACCCTAACCCTAAAACCCTAAGCCCTAAAACCCTAAAGCCCCAATTGGGACCCTAAACCCCCCCCCCCCCCTTCTCCCCCAACCCCCAAGCCCGAAGCCCCGTAATCTTCCCTTAAAGGGGCACTTCAAGCCCTAAAACACTAATGGGGATTCCCTTCCTTTAAGGGTTCCTTTTAATTTCTATCAGTAAGGTTTCCTTTAAGGGTTCCTTGAATTCATCAGTAGGGCTTCCTTTAAGGGTTCCTTTAAGGGATCTATAAGGGTTGCCTTAAGGCAACGGGGGGGGGGGGGGGTGGCTCCATATCTTCGCTACTAAGGCCATGCCAGGCCCCTGCAGACTTCACGATGCAGGCGCTCTGAGGGCCGAGATGAATGTCATTTCAGGCTTTCTTTGGTTTAGGGCGTTTTTAGGGTTTAGGGTTTCAAGTTTTGGGGTTTCGGGTTTAGGGTTTGAAGGTTTTATGGTTTGGGGTTTTGTTTTTGTGGCCGCGTGTTTGGCCGGAGGGGTGGCGAAGGCCGGTTCAATCAAGTTCAACCATAAGCTTGAACCATGCTATGTTCTTTGCAAAACGCCCCCCCATATGGCGATTTCGGTGGCTTCTTTTCCTTTTGTTTGTAAGCTTTTCTCTCGTACTTAAAGGCTCATGGGACTTAGTAAGTAAGGTTATAAGTAGGTTATAATTAGGATAACCCCATTTAGGGGACTTATAACCCCAATTATAACCTACTTACTAAGTCCCATGATCCTTTAAGTAGTCTCTTCGCCAAACGATGGAGCCCCGACCCCAAGCACGAACGCCCGACCTCGGCTCCAGGTGGGTACTCTCGTCGTCCGCGGCTTGCAAGATACCGGTCTTTCTTTCGGATGTGCCGGGGCCTCCGAGGGCTTTGGGAGGCTTGGGTTGCTTTTGGGAGGTTTGTAGTTGTAATTCTTGAGGTTTCGGACTTCAGGGGTTTGTAAGGGGTTGGTGCCTTAGGGTGTAGGTGTTTTCAGGATCTCGTGCTTTTTGGATAGTTTATACAAGGACTTGGGGCTTAAGGTTTGCAGGAGTGCAGGGTTATTCGAGGGTTTTGGTGTTCAGAAGCCCATTGCTCAGCGCGCAGCTGAGTGGAAGCCGTATCCGACACGAGTCCATGCTGTCCCCAAGTACCTTAACCTACCTGGACCAAAACCTACTTTTTTGTAGGGTCTCTACAAATTCCATATTAGAGGCTATAGTAAGAACCTACAAAAAGGTAGGGGTTGGTAGTTTAAGGTAGAACATAGATAGGCTGCAGTGAAATAGCCATGCAGGTCGCCAGCCCATACCCTAAACATCTCTGCAACCACCCTAGACCCCCCAACTACCCTCTTATATCCCCCAAATACCCGCGATTAAGGGCCATAAGGGCTCCATTAAAGGGCCATTGGGGGTCCTGGACAACTCTCCATCTAAAAGAACTCTTGTACGACCGTTCGTTTGGAGAGTGTCTTCTGCGATGCCTCTTGCCGAGACTATCAAGGCCTCAGGCGTGCGATACGGCTCAAGGCGCAAGATGTACTATCATGTTTCACCCTAACCCCTAAGGGACTAGGAAGAGTCGTAGTAGTAGTAGTAGTAGTAGTAGTAGTAGTAGTAGTAGTAGTAGTAGTAGTAGTAGTAGTAGTAGTAGTAGTAGTTATCATTATCCCCCATTCCTCCATTCCCTACCTCGCTTGCAGGTCAAATCCTCCAAGGGGGACGGGCAGGCTCAATGCGCACTCCCTGCGGCTCTTCTGCAAGCTCAGTGTTGAGGGTTTAAAGTTTAGCCCTAAGGGTCCAAAGGACCCAATAATGACGTACTCAGGTTTCGGATAGTAGTTATGTAGGTTACTATTTGGGAGAGTATATGATCTTTTGGGTACGCTTCCAGAATTTCATTTCCGGTTCCGAGCCGTAAAGCTTCAACTCAGGGCCCATTAGATAAACCAGTCGACCTTTAACCTAAAGCCCTTGCACCCTCATTCGGCTGGAAATCACAACCACTATGATGTTTATGTTTGCTGGGGCACCAGTGACCATACTAGCCAGGCCTTTGCATTACTTTGAGCCTACTTGGAGGATCATGGGACTTAGCAAGTAACGATTTTGGACATAAGTACCGTAATTGCGATGGTAAGTCAAGTCTAAGCAGAAGTATCCGAATAATCGCCCTATAGATACTATCTCCCAGGATCCTGAAAACCCTAAACCCCCCCTTATAGATCCCTTTAAGGAACCCTTTGAGGAACCCCATAATGAGTACCCTCAAAACGAAGCCTAAACCCTGGTTCTAAGTCCCGTTATCCTTTAAGTACCGTAAGGCACAGAGCCCGCATCTGAGGTCCAGGGCAGCAGCCTCATTCCCGAGCAGGAGCTGCGGTTAAGGTGACAGTCTGCTTTCTGAGATTCCCATATTTCAGGGTTTAGTGTTTATACTGTTTAGGGTTAAGGGTTTAGGCTTTTCAGGGGTTTATGGTTTAAGAGGCTTGCTTAAAGATTCTCTTGAGGCGGTTGCGAGATTTCTGCAGGTTATTGGCTGTCTATAGTGTTTCAAGCTTCTCGCCTAAGGCCCTTCTGCGGTTCCAATGGAAAGAACGGCTTGATGCGATAAGGGTTTCGAGTTCAATTTAGACCCCCTTTCTCTCAGGGGCCTTCATACCAGGCTTCCCATGAGACCCCACGCAAAGTCTACAGTGGAGTAGGGGCCGTTGTTTTTTGGGTTTCGAGCCCTAAGCCTTAAAAGCACCGAAACTCGTCCGATACCAGGACAAGATGCTGGTCATGCCCCTGTCGGACACAACAAGCTGTGGAGAGGCTAGACTGATCTTCCGGTTTGGAGGTTTATGATGGGTCTAGAAACCCGAAACCCTAAACCCAGGCTAGAAAGGTTCTGGAACGGTTCTATCATTGTCTCTAAGGGGCACCAGCACCTTAGGATTTGCGGTTGCAGAGTTTGTTTTGTGTTGTTTTTTTTACGGCGGGGAAGGGGGTGGTGGGTGGGGCGATCTTTTCGGGCTCCGGGTTCAGGGTATAGCTGTGCAAGCTTCCTGCTTCGCTGCAAGCTCTTTTGGGGAAGGGGGAAGCATGATTCTGTTTGAGGCCCTTGATTACATCCCCGGGGGTTGGCATGACCCCTGGACTTAGACTTGCATAGCTTCCACGATTCCGGTTCTTGCGTTTTGGGTTTGCAGAAGATTGCAAGATGAATTAGTCAGATTTGTCTTGCAGCTTGTTTCGGAGGTGAGGACATGCACAGAAACAGTATCAGTACCAGATATACCAGATGTTCTGCCCGTCGACGGGCTGTCCATCTCACTCAACATCCTCGTTTGCTTCCTCATCCCCTGCTCCTTGACCCTGCAGCCTAGACCCTGTGAATCCTGCACTCATCTTGGAATAAAGGCATTGCGAACACCAAACCCAAATCCCAAGCCTATGGTGATGCAAGCAGAGCAAAAACTTTACAACAAAAACATCGAACATTGAACAGTTATTACACAGTAACAAACACTTGTACAGAGTTAGAGCCGTATGTCTGACGATGAGTCTGAATCTTCTTTAAACTGCAATATTGCTATATTCTGATATGTCCCAAAACCCGGCTCCAATTGTCAACACCCCTCCCTGAATTGCATATATCCAACAATGCATGTAAAGCCCTATCAAACACCCGACCAACTCGAAGAAGACTGTTTGGTTCTTAGTAGAGCATGGGGGAATGGATCATGGAGACGATTATTGTGGATGATATAGGGGCTACTATAGGGATCCATTCCCCCGTTCCTAGTAAGACCCAGACAGAAGAACTCCGACCCCTCCAACCCCGGCTGGCCGCAGGTCGCGGCCAGCCGCGGTTTTGGCATCAGTGCCCCACTAAGGGAAGATGAGAAGGCTTACTATAGTGGCCTAAATAATTTGCAGTAATACTATTCCTTGGGTTCTTGACTATAGTTATGGTATAGACTGCCCAAAACCCTACTACGGTAAGATGAGAAGGCTTAGTGGATTGTGATCTTAACTTTACAGCGGCTTAGGGAGGTTCTGATACAGGGCTGCATTAAATGTACGTAGTTGAAGCATGTTATATTGCAATATGCCCCACAACTCTTTTCTACATATTTAGGCCCCTGTTGTAAAACGTTTGGTGGTTTGGAGGGTGTTTTTGGCAGGACAGTTCTCGGCTGTATAGGATTCGGTCGGCGGTACCAACGTTCCAACTTCCGCTGTTCTGCTGCAAGGCGCGTGGGCCTGTACAGCCTTAGGGTGTGGAGTTAGGGTTTTAGACTTTGGAGTGTTTGCAGCTTCTTAGGGATTTTGAGCTCGCGGCCGGAGGGCTTCCGATTTTACGCCGAACAGTTTTGGTTTGATATGTAATGCGCAGGGATTGGGGTTGAAATTTTAGGGGTTTGGAAGAACCTTTGGGTATTGTTGAGATGTTTTCATTCAGGATACCGTCAGTTTACTCTGATACATGCACTAGTCGACTGGCCGGTGTTCTCTAAGCTGCGGGGTCCTTCGGCAGCAGTCGTCGCCTCTGTTGTCGCAGTAGCGCAATAGTAGTAGTCGTGGAGGTCGTGCCCGCCAGTAGTCGTCGCGGCAGTGCTCGCCGTCATGGTGTCGTAGCCGAAGCAGGTGCCGATAACATTGCTGTTGCACTTGCTGTTGCCTTTGCTGCTGCTATGGTTGTAGCAGCTACTCGTAGTGTGGCGGACCCGAAATGGTTGGACGAGAAGTGTTCAGAGTTTCGGTGCCTGACCGAAAGCAAACCTAACGAGATCCCGTGCTGCCGAGGCCCGAATCCGATCCCCATAAGCCTGGCGAACACCACTGGAGCGCCGGTCCTACGATACCTCCAGGGCTCAGTTCGGTGAGTGGTTTTCAGCTTTGAGAGCAATCTTTGCCATGGTATTTCTGTGCTGACGATGTTCGTGAGGCTGCTTAAGTTATATTTATAGGTGGGTCTATGGGGTTGCGTGTGGTTTGATTCCCGTCTATAATGGTTTAGATTTTGTGCTTGCTGTAGGTCTTGATCGGTCTTGATGGTTGTCAGTCTGGCAGTTTAACTCCACTCCACTCCAATGTCGTTCCTCTGTTTGTTTATCAGGCTGTTTGACAGAAACCTTGTAAGCAGCAGAATGCGGACTACACTGGAGAGAAGGCAGTCTGAAATCCGAGACCCCGAACTCTGAAGACAGGGTGCTTGAGGTTTCTGGTCTTTAGGGGTTGATATGTAGCTGTTGTGCCTGGTCATCGGGGCCATGTTGTTTTGCTTAGTGCATAAAGGGCAGAGGGGTCCGACGCTATGAACTCTAAGTTAGCCTAAGCCGTCACTAGCCACGGATGGATGGGGATTCGATCTGGGTGCATGCCGATGCCGGTCCACTGGCCTCAGGGCCGCCAACTGTAATTTTGGCCTTCGTTCGGGCTTTTGGGCTCATGCGATTCAAGAGACATGCCATTGGCAATTGGGGTTTGGGATGTGGGAACTTTAAGTTGCCAGTAGCTGCCGTCGAAACGAGGGTTAAGACATGTCCCTCCTAGGAAGAACTGTTGCTCTATTTGTAGGGTTGGGCTCATCGCCGTTATTCTAAAAAGGCCACTTCTTTCGACTCAATCCTCCGGCGTGCCATTAACTGCCAAGCCCCCGGAGTCCGCCATGATCGCGGCAAGACTCCACATGCTAAAGTACCCCCGCCCCAACCCTCAATGAACATGCCCCCAGTCCCAAACCCCCAAAGCCTCAAACTCCAGACCTCAAAAGCCCCCGAAAGCCTATGACACAGCCTACACCCGAAACCCTAAACCCTATACAACCCTAGATGGTAAACCCTACTGTGTAAGCCGACTTTTGGGCAGACGGAAAAGTCACTACACATTAAAAAAAATCCTACACCCTAAATCCTAAACCCTAAAGTGTCCATCCCAGGTCATCCCCTTGGCTTCAGTGAATGCCAGCGACGTGGCCCAGTGGGTCATCGAGAGGCCAGGGCAAGCCCAACGAATTGGGGTTTAGGGCTTCGGGTTTAGAGGTTTAGGGTTTAGGATTTAGGGCCAGTTTAGGGATTTAGGGCCAGTTTAGGGGTTTACTGTAGGGCCAGTTTAGGGGTTTAGGGCCAGTTTAGGGGTTTAGGTTTAGGGCCGGTTTAGCGTCTGAGGGCCTTGGGTTTAGGGCTTCGGGACTTGAACTTACACGTGCACTTCTCATGCTGGAATCATTGAACAGATACTTTTGGGAAGAATTACAGTTGAAGCCCAAAAGTTGGAAACCCAACAGCCTCATTCCTTCAGAGTAATGTATAGGGAGTCCCAGCACTATTTGGCCTCAATCCGGTTTCCAACTTTTTGTGGTTTTCTTTAAAGTCGTCTACAAAAGGCATGCATATTAGGCCACGACGAATCGGGGCCAGGCCCAGGGAGCAGGGTTCAGGGTAATAACTAGAACATAGGGTTCGTTTAAGGGATCCTATAGGGATACTATGAGGTCATAAGGTCTTGCGGTGTAAGGGTTTAGGGGGATCAGGGTTTAGGGTGTAGACGGGTTGAGGGTTTTGCTTTCCCTAAGGCTCCATGTGCCCATATAGTATATACTTATAGGCCTTAGAGTACCTATATAGAGACCCCTTTAAGGCTCAAGTATCTACTATAAAGGTACATGGAGCCTTAAACCCTAAACCCTAAACCCTTATGATACCCCTTATAGAACCCTTAAAGGAACCCTATTAAGGGTACATGGAGCCTTTGGGTTTGAGTCCTCCGGCTCCAGGGCAGAGACTCCCGGCCTGCTTCGTGTTTGCTACTGCGCCGACTCTGCCGAAGCTCGGTTGCAATTCCGCGTCCTCAGAATTCGGGCTTCGGACGCGTGAACCCTGTTTGGATTCTATCAAGGCCCTTACAGTAGGAAGGTTACGGTTCAAGGTCCGCTGACAGCATCAAGGAACTTTTTTGGAACTCTTTCCATGCAATGATAGGTAAACTGCCAAGTTAGTTTTGCTCTACCAGGGGCGGGACCGTGCAGTCTGTATGGTCTAACAGGCCTTGCAGTATTTCGGTCAGGAGATAGAACAAGCTCGTTCTCAGCAGGGTAGCTCATGGTCCAACTGGTGGAATGGTGTGCGGCGGTTGTCCCGAAACCAGAGGGCCTTAACCCCCTAAACACCTAAACCTACCGATGATCTCCCGGGAGCTCCGTTTCTTCCAGGATGGCTCTCTGGATGGATTCGGTCTTTGTTCTTCTCCGTCTGGCTTCTACTGGGAGGCGGGGAAGACTTTCCGTCTATGGCTCCATGCGTGCGAACCGCCACCATAAACATTGCCGGCACCACCGCCGCCACCACCATCGTCCATAGCAGCGAGAATCGTCGTCAGCTTGTATTAACGCCATGACCAACAGTTTCACGAGCATCCATGTGTTTCATTTTCCTCATCTTACTAGTCCACAGAGTCACACGGTCATAGTCGCTCTTCGGTTTCCGCGCCATCATCATCATAATCGTAATCATCGCCAGTATCATCAGCATGAACGTCATCGTCACCATCATCAGTTTATATGATTAGTTAGCTAAATCACAGCAATCTTCATCGAAGGCATCGAAAGCTCGGCCCGGCTCCTACCACTCCACCCGCCTCCTCCTGCCGGCATTGTACATCCGACAGCGACAGACGTGCTGCGTATCTCCAGAACCATGCGCGAGACTGAGTAGGGTGGAGTACCGGTGCAGCGCTCATCGCCGCAAACACCGATTGTGTAGCCGCACGCATAAGTGATTGGCGTTTAGCTGCTAAGAGGGTTCGGCGGATAGGCCACTTACGTGTGGAATGTAAAATTAAGCATCTTTCAGGCAGTATCGCTAGACCCCGACCCTGAATGCAGGTCGGAACCATACTCGTTCGAGGCGCAGACATCGGGCAGATGCCAGGACCCAAGCTGCTGCCATGGATGTATCTGCATAGGACACAATGTCAAACATACAGGGTGAACCTTCTTGCGAGTGTTCCATTTTCTTCTTGGTATACTACCTAGAGGCTCATACCCTACCTTTTTTTGGATACCTAGTCTTATTGTTAGGATCTGATATTATTTAGAAAAATAGATACCCTAAAAAAGAGCCTACAGGTAGTACAGGCGAACAGTCTGGCTGCTATTCTCACACCACAACCAATGGTTAAGCCGTTCGGGCTCCTATTTTGACTCTGACTGTGTGCGGTCCCGAATCAGCAGAACCCATAGCCTAAATGTCTGAACCCTTTAATCCACAGGAGTCTGGGGTTTCAAGCGTCGCAATCTCGAGATCCATTCTGCTAGCTCACGAACGGGGCTGGGGTTGGAACGGGGTTAAGGCTTTGGGGCTTGAGTTTTTGGAGTTGCCTCCATCGGTGCACGACATCTCGACGTTCAAGGCTCGCAGTTCTGTCGGCGAAGACTTGCCGTCTTTACTTGCATGTCGCTTCGCACGGCTTAGAAGGGCATCATGGCCCGCCTCGCGCCGGCCTTGCATACTGGTGTTTTGCACCGAGCGTTGGAGCAGCCGTCCAGCCGCTTAGGTTGAACTAATCGCAGGCTATTCGATGTTAAGTGTTTGCTTCACTGAATCATCCTTGTTTCAAAGATGTCCATAGGATAAGTCGCTTGCACACCTGGCAACAGGCTTCTTCATACATGTTGCAAAGGATAAGCATACCTCAATCTCGAATGTGTGCAAGTGCTTGCTTCGCATTGGGCCCTTGAAATGAGAAGAGATGCAATTTACGCCGTGGTCATGCCTCAGCATGGCACTGGGAAGCCTAGGAAACTTCAGGCCAACAGAGTGGATATCGTGCTTAACGGCATGACTTCTGGCGGTAGTCAGGTCGGGTGTTTCATCACGTTCGCGTCTTGTTTTGTGAGTGTGAGGCACATCATTCCCTGTACCGAATGCAGCTTCCCAGCGACAGATCCTGCCTGGGGCGTCGTTCGCTCTTTGCGGACTGCTTCCATTGCTGTCCGCTGTTCGGGAACCTTTGCTGCAGCAGTTGGTGTGTCCTGTTCGTATAGTCGTTTGCGCAACGATGCTGGATCGCTTGGACGAATGCAGACATTGCAACGATACACGGGTAGGAGCCGTATCCAAGTCGCTTGACAAGCTCGCAGCAGCTGGACGAAGAGAGCAGAACAGCAATACTGGACAGAGGACTGTAAGTAAGATATTGTGATTGGACTTTTGGCAACGTGTGTTTCCTGTACCCATGGAAAGCCCAACACGAACCACATGCGCATGAATTTCGTTGAGTTGCTGAAATCATGAGCAACCTTTGTGTCTTAAGACACTGCCTGCGCAAGGCAACAGAAGTTCGAGGGCAACAGCAACTGCGAACGGGAGGCCGTGCCACTGTGCTGCAGGCCCGGCGAGCAGAGGTCGAGCTGTTGGTGGACGCAGACCAACACAGCATCCAAGAAATCCGGGCAGGAATTGACATGCTGAGATGCATGGAAAATGACTACAGCTCTATCAGGACAACCATCTTTGCAGCACCTCGACGCCGTGAGAACAAGGCTTGGCAGCGATTGTTCAGTGAACCGGGCATCCATTTTCGTCCTGTCAAGCGGCGACGGGCGAGGGATGGGGCCGAAGCTAACGACGATGTAATCGTTGCTGAGATTCGGCGGCTTGCTGGGACCGTCAAATGTGTGGCACTCATGGCTGTGGACAAGGGTTTTGGTAGCGTTTTGACTGAACTGATGGATGGTGGGCAGCAAGTCTTGGTTCTAGCGTCTTTCGCAAGAACAGAAAAGTGGTCGTACGAGAAACTTGGCATTCGAGTAATAGAGCTGCCTCGAGTTGAAGCTGGAAAGACAGGGTCGAAGGTGCGAGCTATTTTGCACGAGGATGGCAATGGAAGCGTCAGACTTGCAGATGCGTTTGAAGCTCGCGACACCCGCGAGGAGGTGGAGTTCATACGGTGCTTTCTGCAGAGTACAGGGTATCCTGCAGACACCGGCTACCTTTTGCCAGCAGTTGTGAACTTTTGGTTTACCAATGAAGTTGGTCCCTTGACGGTATACCCACGGCAGAGTTCCACTCTAGCCTTGTACGAACTTCTGCAGAACAATGCAAACAGATCGTGGGAGAGATGCAAATCAGATTTGGCGTTCTTCTTGCCCATATCGGCAACAGGATCACGGACGGCAGCAGTGCAAAACAAGTATGGAAATGGCCATGCCCAGGAGTGCTTCAGAGGTGGAGGGCCATTCGTGCGTCGAGACTCCAAAGAATTGGTTGCCCAGGCCTTGAAGAAAATGGGATATATTGATTCCCGCTTGAACCAGGATCTTGCGGAGGCAATGTTCGTTTTTGTCAACGTGACTAGGAACAAGCCACACGGCATGATCAGCATCGTTTCATGTTCCCGTTTGAATGTGCTGCGCGGAGTTTGGTGCATGCTAGATACTGCGTTGTTTCCTTCATGTCAGGACGACTCTGCGCAAGATGGGCATGCTACCCTGCGAAACCGACACGGCCCGACAGGCTGGAGACAAGCTTCGGACAGCATTTCTGTCAACGTGTTCTTCTGGCGTTTGGCAAACGGCGCCGAAGGATGGGATGGTCCGACAGATCCTGTCCAAGAATGGACTTCTCACAGATGCTAGTTGTCCCGATGTAACGATGGCGAAAGCGATGGCGACATACTTGCGCAATCAAGGTTTGCCCGAGATGAAGAACTTCAACGGTCGCGTATGGCAGATTCTGCGTCACTCCATACAAGCCAAGGATCCTAGCCATGCTGGAACCATCAGCTTCAGAATGTGAAAAGTGCTTGGTCAGGCCGGCTGGGGACGTGCCCACTTCACACAATTGTGTACATATAGGAGCGCATGTCATCCTGCATGATTTGAGATTGGCCTGCATGTGAAAGTCAGAAGCCAGCGACATGTCCAGTGACATGTTTTGCTCCAGTGCTCGGTTTGTGCATTTCAGAGTTTGTTCCCAGACCGATTCAGAATCGGTAGGGGTGTAGAGTGTATAGACGGGTGGAAGGGGGCGGTGGGGTGGGTCGCGGTACAGTGGCGAGCAATACATTGCTGCGCGGTTCGGGTCGGTGCGGTAACGGTTCGGTGCGGTACTGCGGCACTGCATTGTTGAAACGCCCATGATTCTTCCTCTGAATCAGGCATGCTCCTTGGAAGACTGTCGTCGATCGCCTATGGCCTATGACCTTAAGCTCGGCCGTGAACTCTTGTTTTCATCATGGGCAAGCCTTTTGTATCGTGTCCCGAATGATACAACCCGAACCCCAAGTCTGTTAACCCTGGCAAAGTAGACCGAAATCCTAAATGCCTCTATACCTCTTTCGGCGGCTTCCTGAGGTATGTGTGCTCACCAGGGAGTCCCTGTGAGGTGGGAGCTGATCTATAGGGGCAGGTGTGTGTGCCTCAGCGTACTAGAGGGGCTGAATAATTGCCAACAGTGTTCCCTATAAGGTTCCTTCATGCAGCTGCAGCATAGAGATGCATAGAGTATTCTCGTGCTACTCCTTTACAACCCTTTTCTAATCGTCAAGTCCCCTCTATTACCGGGTTTGCATGCCAGCTTGGCGGCTCTTGGTTTATACATGTGAACTCCATCCAGCCCAAGTCCCGTATGAACGCTTCCTTTACACTTCAAGCTGAGTCTGAGGCAACCTTAGGGTTTCAGCAACAAAAAAAGACAAATCTGCAAAACAAATCTTTCATGCTCCCAGCAGTCTTCGTGGCCTAACATGTTTCATGCACGAAGCCTAAAGCCCCGCTGAGCCTCCTTTCAGTTGGCATCTTCGACGCGAAGCCTTCATCTAGACCTTGTACTAGTATTATACTGGCTTACACTAAACCCCCAAACATACTTCAAAGCTGTAAAGTCGCCAGGTCACGGTCAGAGGGACCGGCCTATCCATCCGCGATAAGGTGCACACGAGTTTCGGATTCACGGTTCAGTGCTAAGTAGATTTACCGGCTCAGAGGGGAGCGTGGGGGTGTGGTGCTATGATTTTGGGGTTGCGGGTTTGCGATTTGCTGTTGAGGAGTGTTGCTGGTGATTTTGGTGTCGGGTTCTGCGCTGGCTTCTGCAGACGCAGGGCTGACAAAACCCTAAACCCTACAAACCTGATAATATGCTAAACCCCCGACAAAGTAAAGGTTGTAAAGCTTGAGCAGCGCTGCCTTTTTTGCGAATACCCTCAACCTCAAAGCCCAAGGCACCGATCTGTGAATCTTAAGTTCTGCCTGCGGTCTTTTAGTCCTACGGGAGCACAAGGACCTTAGAAGTAAACGTGAGATGGAGGTATCGCGAGATAGTAGAGCTCGAAGTAGATTCCTGTAGAATCCTCATAAACCCTGAACCTCAAACCCTAAACCCTAAGAGCCTGGAGCAAGTGACGGTCGGTGCCAGGTTCGCCTCGTGGGTCCAGAGGCCAGGGCCCTGATGCGCCTGCAGTGATGACGTGTTTAGAGTACCGCCATGGTGGTGATGATGATGATGGTGATGATGATAAAGATGATAACGATGGCGAAGACCTTGACAAAAAGGCCTTTGTAATGATGTTGATGGTGACGATGAGGTTGTAGATGTAGTCGTCATCGTGGTGTTGGCATTAGGCAGTGGCTGCGCTGGTGCTGGTGCGGGTGCTGGCAGTGGTAGTAGTATGTAGTAGTCTGTTGCTGGTGCAGTGGATGTAGTTGGACCGCGCCCCGTTCGCGCCCGAGGGTTATTCTCCACTTTTGTCCATTTTGGACTCGGTATCTGCGAGGGTTTCGTTACTTGGGGCACTTCGGATTTTCAGGGCTTTTTGAAGGGGTCGCAAATTTCTGCTTTTCGGCTTCAGAGGTTTTGCTCTGGGTTTTTGGCTTGGGGGTGGAGTGGGGGGGGGTGGGGTGGGGTGGGGGCTAATAACGTTCTGTTCGCAGTTTCCTTGCTTGGGGCGCTTCGTCTTTTCGGAGGGGGGGTCTGCTAACGTTTTTGTCGCAGTTTTGTATGTTTGGTGACTTTGTTGTAAGACATGATAGATGCAGCTGCAGTAGTGCAACAACAGAAACCAGCGTCACCTTCGAGATTCGCTACTACGACACGTCAGTGCCGCATCAAATTAATGGCAGCAGCCCGTGCCGTGAACACTGGCGTCCGCGAGGTTTCGTTAGGTTTCGTTAAGTTGGCAACGACCAACAAAATCCAGCGTCACCTCGGGTCCTTAAGCTGTTAACAGATTTAGTTCCAGTTACCAGAATAGAGATCAATATGGTTTCCCTATTATGGTTAGTTACATAAACTAATTCCCTTGATTGAAGGCTTTTACAGCTTTGCAACTCCAGTACGCCGTATACAAAGCCTGTTACAAAATCTTGGTAAGGCCCCTCTGAGCCCCTGTGCAAATCCATCAAAGCACTTTGTACGACGTAAACAGTGGCGCAAACATATTTGAAAGAAAACATCGCTTGTCGAAACCCCTGTCTACGCAACAAACTTGCTGCACATGAGCAATACCCAAAGCCCTAAACTTTGAAGAAGCCAAGAGCCCAGGACAGCTGCTCACTTCAGAGTCCTTTGGTCACCGCGACGACTGAGGACTCCCTTTTTCAATACCGTTGAATCCGGGGGGAACCCAGGAGCAGGTCCAAGATATAGGGTTTTAGGCTTAGTATAGGGGCCTAAGTAATTTACCAATACTATTTCGGTTGTTCCTATTATAACTGTAGTATAATATTACCCAAAACCCCACTCTAATTATTTAGGCCCCTACTTCAGTATATCTTTGTGCACCTACCACGACCTGATATGTTGTAGGGCCCAGAACCTCAACACGATGATGTTTACAGAAAGGTAGTTTCTTGACGCCTTCGGGCTGTGGGGGTTCAACCCCATCCTTCACCACCGAAGCCCGGATCAGCCTTGGACCGGCTCAGGCATGATTGAAGGCTCACGGCCACTTGTCTGTAGGAGGAGTGACATGTCAATCATCGTTTTTGCATGCCCCTTGCTGTCTTGGGGGCTTGCTGACAAGGACTTCATCCAAGCCATGGAGGCGAATGACACCTTCGCCAGGTGCCTTTTGGAAGCCTCGCGGGGTTTAGGCTTTAGTTTACCCTAAGGCTGTTAAGGATTCATATTTTCGGGCCTTTGGGCCTAGACCAGAATATATAAGGGTTTTGGGCCATTTCGAGCCTTAGGGTTAGGGTCTCGAGTTTAGGGTTTTTGAAGCCGAAAAGCCCGAAGCGAAATGTACAAGCCTGAACTGGTAGGACAAAGTCCTTAGGTTCCCTGGACATTGACGAGCTGATGCCCAGGATCGGTTTAGGATTTAGGGTCAGGGTTTAGGCTTAAGAGGTGCAGGGTCACATGCGGTTGAGGACATTGTCTTGCTTGCTCCAACATCTTGACACCCCAAAAGCCCTTGAGGTTCCATTGAGCTGTTTGCTCGTCCTTGGTGTCTTCAAACGAAAGCTTTCTATGCCGAGTCATCACAGCCACTTCTGTTTTCTACACTGTGAACTGTTCTATACCTCCCTGTCTCCTAGCATGTATACTGGTCAAACGCAGTGTAAGCTGCTATCATTTCGCTTCTGCAAACACCCAGACAGAGTCGGATGCATTCGATGCTTATCTGGTTGTTTCGTGAGCTGGCCCAACAAAAGCAGGTTCTCCCTTGGCAGCATACGAGAGTTCGACCCGCCGGACGCCCTTGCGCTGCGCCTTTGCTACTGTGCCGACTTCAACGCGGATACGCAGGCCGAAGACCTCTAAACCTATAAGGCCTAAAAGCTAGATCCTGAACGTGTTCCTAGAGGTCTTCATACGGTTGATGATATAAACCTTGCATTACCCTGAGGACCCTAAACTATGGGAATTGTTGTATATTCCTCGTTATGGGTGATGCAGGATTTCTATCATCAACCGCATGAATCCAAATAAGCTGAGCGTTTAGGGGTTTCGGCGAGTCTCATTGATATTTTTCCAGCACTCACAGCCTAACCCTAAGGCGGGTTGCTCTGGCTCTGGATCTAGAATCTATAAACGCACTCGCGGACCTCAAGAGAGGCCAATACTACGGTTTAGGCGTCGGTCGTAAGGACAACCTCAGAAGCCTTAAGTTAGGGTTTAGGGTTTAGGGGTTTGGGGTTTAGGTCTTGTTTTGCTGAAGCTCTGTAACTTCCATCAACAAGGAGCAATTGTACAAAGACCGTGGCTAACATCGAAGCTAGCATCGGCATCAGAGGTCCGACTTCCACTATGGTTTAAGTAAGTTACTCATAGCAGTCAGGCGCAATAACTAACTCATAGTCCACGGCACTCGTGACACAGAAACTTGCTGCATGCTAGGTAACAGGTAGCTGTTATCCGCTATTTGGTCGCCTAGTTGTGCTCCATGTCTACAAAGGTGCAAGTACCAATATAGTATCAAGTAGACATTTGGGTTCCCCAAGGAGTATGATGCTGAAACTTGGACCCTTTAGCGTCTACAGTGCCCAAGAGGCAGCGTTGATTCTTTGGGTTCTCGGTCAGGGTTGAGGGTCGATGGTGGAGGGCATAGGTAGAGCTTTGGGCACGCCTTGCCAGAACGACTCCTGCTCCAGCCCGGATGACTTCACGCATGCCGCCGGTGTCGTCAATGTTGCGAACTGTGGCTGCCTCACGCATCACAGGGTGTCAGTGGGTGCGTGAGTGAGTGAGTGGTTGAGTGAGTGAGTGAGTGAGTGAGTATATGCTTTCTTGTGCTCCAGCTGTTCAGGAGTTCATGAGTCGTTAGGCTTGATTCCTTTGGTTTCGAATGTGCAAGAACCAATAACTGTCGTGGTTTGCATGCCCGAAGCTTTAAACCCCTGCTTTCAATCCAAGATATTTATTCAACATAGCAACTTAGGAACCTTACCTTAACCTGCACTGTAAACATCTGTAAACCCCCAAACCTCAGCCCACGAAGTATTGGTTATTGGACATCTTCTGGACCCCAACTACAGCGAGCCTCCAGTTTCCTGAACCAACGCACCGTGAAGCGTGAAGTTCCAACAGTTGTGGTAGACCATGGCCCTATAGAATGCTTGAGCCAATCTCAGGACCAACAAGAAACCCCATCAACCCCAAGCCATCAAACCTGTTAAGACCAGAGCCTTTAAGCACCCCCGAGCCTGGGAATCTACACCAAGCACCAAACCGAAGGGATAGCCAAGACTGCATGCTTTGTGGACTTGCACCTGTGATCCGAAACTGTCGAGCTTTCAGCTCCTGTAAAGCTTCGCACTGAAATTTTTGAGCATTGGAATCTAACCTTGAAGACGGTCAGGTCCGGCACCTCCTTCGGCAGACGTCTTCACTCCGCCAGTAGAGGTACCTTTGTTTGTGAATTCCCTGGAGGTTTTGGGGCTTATGGTACAGGGTTCAGAGGGGTGCAGATTGACGACTTAGCAGCTAACGACCTGACATCATTTACGCTCCGTCCATACAGCCGAGGGGTCAAGGTAGGATACCAACATTCCCATAGACATGTACATAAACATAAATAAACAAGTCAATATGTGTATACAGTTCATTCTCTCTCTCTCTCTCTCTCTATATATATATATATATATATGCATATCATGAGATCATATTGGTAGTATTGTGTCATCTCTTTTGGCCTCTCTCTCTCTCTCTCTCTCTCTCCCTTGATGTCCCTCTAGATCTCAGCACAATACCTATTTGTTCACATGTGTATGTGTGCATGTCTGTATGTATGTATGTATGTGTATATACATACATATGTATATATGTATACACAACTTTACAAACAAACACACATGAACCTGGCCGAGGATGTTTACGGTGAGCCTGGCAACCCTCTTGTGCGACTTTACCTTCTTCCGGCAGGGGTCTTGGTGCAGATCACCTTTGGGGGTTAAGATTTCAGGGGTTTCACGGCGTAGATTTTATGGTTTGAGGGTTTCGATTTTAGGGTTTACCGCTGAAGGGGTTTGGGCTTAAAAAGCTTGAGGAAAAGTTTCCTGGGATTCGTTCACACTTCATTCGGCTGCAGCTGCAATCTACCTGGGGGTGTGTTGAGGAGCCGAGCCCTTCCAAAACCGGCAAACCTGTATTTTGTCGGGTCAACAGCAACATCCGTTTTCATTCGCTGCCTGCGAAGGGGTGGACCTGCCTCGACGTGGAGTCCAGGACCTGTTTCAGTGAGTTATATTCTTCATACACGCTAAGAGTCCAAGAGAGTTTGCGGGATATTCAACGGAAATACAGATTTGTACATAGTCTAAGAGTGCAGAGTGTTGAGGTTTAAAGTTGCGAGGGACGACACGCCAAGGCCTGGAGAGTCGATTTAGGGTTTAGGGTTTATAGGTCCGGGTTTTGGAGCTCGGTGGCAAGTTGGGAGTTTGAGCTTTAGGACTGACTCTATATGGTCCACGTAGGAGCTGGTCGGCCTTTCGACACAACGGGGAAGGCTGAGGTGTTGATATCACATGTCTGCCTTGGCATGTTGCGCGCCGATGTTGTTTCAAGGTCTACCCCTTGCAGGTTGTGTATGTTCGCAAGGTGAAAAGTTATGATATTTTCTGCCTGGCCCTATTGCCCTGTTCCTTACACCCTACAGCATGCAAACCCGAATCCAAAACCCCAAACCCTTAACAAAAGATTCTAGAGCACCTTCTGAGTCTTTATAGAACCTTTAAAGACCCCTTGCTTCCCCCCTCACAGACCGGTGATTCTGAATCAGCTGCTCTGCTTCCACATAAGCACGGAAGCACATTGCCGAGCCTCAGAACTTACACTATGAAAACTCTGCTCAGGGGTGCAGGGTTTAGGGGTAATATAGGGACATTGCCTACACTATTGTGGGGGTTCCTTATCTTACGTATAGTAGTATTTTGGAGGCCCATTTATGGCTTCAATATTAGGGCTGGCACCTATGTGTAGGCTCTTTAGGGTTAGTATGCGCTGGCAGGGGCTTAGGGTTCAATTAAAGTTCAGGGTTTGTTCAGGATCAGGGGTCGCGTCGCGTGCTCCCAAAAGCCCCAGTGCGGCACTGGGGTTTCAGGCTTTAGGGTTTCGGGGTTTAGGGTGTAGGGGTTTCAGGAGTTTAGGGTTTAGGGATTCAGGGTTCAGGGTATAGGGTTGCTAATCTAACTGTAGATACAAGACCCCCCAAAGCGCACGTGCAGCCTGAAATCCAGAGTCTAACTCGTCTTGAAATCAGCTCCATGATCCAGTGGTTTTTGGTGATGCTTTGGGGTTTGTGGTTTTTGTTGGTGAAGGTTTTGGGTTTATGGATTTCTTTTGTCATGGCGTGGGGTTTCTGGAATTGGGTGAAGGCTTCGGGGTCTTGGTTTGACTACCAGGCTCTTCGGTGTAGGGTCTGGGGCTAAAAGCTTAGGATGCAGGGTAGGGATGCTGCCTGAGAAGGTCCCTTGGCTATTCTGAGCCGTAGGGCAGAGCTCTAAGCTACAGCTCTAAGCCCTAAATAGATGGCTCAAACACTTAAGACTCAACCCCAAGCCCAGGCCCAAAACCTTGAACCCAAAACCGGTAATCGCCAACTCCGAAGTCGCTGAAGAGCAAACTGAATCCGTGAACAACAAATGCCTCAACCCTTAAGATCCGAAACCCAGAAGCTCTGGTTTACCGGTTTATGCACATCGCCAATGTACGCCCTAAACTCTAGGCCTAAGCCCCAGAATGGATAAGTAAACTCTAAGCTAGAAGTCCTAAACCCTAGAATGGATACGTAAGCTCTAAGCTCTAAGCCCTAAAACCTAGAATTTACAAGTAAAATCCAACCTCTAAGCCCTAAACTCTAGAATGGTATAACTCTGTGGTGCAGAGGACATCGGAAGATCTGGATCGCCTCCAGGTGCTTGCGTTAAAGCGTTCGGATGGGTTCCGGGCTGCTGGTGGGGTGTGGGCATTGGGAAAAGGAGCTTTGGAGGTTTGGGGTGTTAGGGTTTGGGGTTTATATAAGTATAAGGTTTTGGGGTTCAGGGTTTTAGGGTTTTGCAGGGCTAGCTTCCGAATTCCGAAGGCTGGAGGTTCGGTAGTTATCCCTAAAACTCCATGTGCCTTTGTAGTATATTCTTAGGCCTTAAAGTACCTATGTAGGGACCCCTTTGAGGCTTAAGTATCTACTATAACGGTACATGGAGCCTTTGGGTATCCTACAGCAGGCAGGCGCGAACATAAAGCCATGCTCAGCGAAGGCTGGAAGGCCAAATCTTCCACACGATCTCGCAATGCGGTTGTGCTCGTTAGCCCGCAGGCCCAAACCCAGACCTTCCAAAATCCCTTAATTAAGGAATATACCTTAAATCATATTAGGGACCCTAATATAATTTAAGGCATATTCCTTAATTAAGAAATTGTGGAAGGTCTGGGTAGTTTGTGGGCCAGGGCTAGATGCATCGACCTAAAAAACCCCAAAAACTCCGAGCCCCAGCCTTCCTACCTTCTTAGCAGCCTAATTAAACTATCGACTATACCCTATACGGCTCAATGTCAGAGTGGTCTTCTATTTCTACACCCTAAGCTTCGGAGTCCAAACCCCTCAGAAGGAAGGAGTATTCCTCAAATAACCTACGGCTTGCGCAGTTCTGATTACGGGAGTATTGCTTGAGGGTTACTTCAGGGGTCTTGAAGTCTCTGATGAGCCACCAAGCCCTAAAAGCCCAAAACCCTAAAGTCGGGAACCCCTAAAGTCCAAACCCTTACAGCCCTAAACCCTTAAACCTTGTTCGTGAGCTAAACCCTAAACCGAAACCCTAAACCCTTAAACCCCTAAAGCCCTAAACCTTGTTTGTGAGCTACACCCTAAGCCGAAACACTAAACCCTAAACCCTTAAAACCTTAAAATCCTATAACCCTATATAAGCCAGGAGCAGCTTCCTCTTGGCCCAGGATACGGCGCGGCACCCGAACGACGAACGAGTGCGGGAATTATAGCCTGGGTGCACAGTAGGCTCTGAATTCACCCCAACCCAAACCCAGCGTGGCATGAAGGTCCCCAGACTTGGTTTTGCAAGACGACACCCTAAATCCAGGAATTTTTGTCATTTTTCAACCCCAAGTCACAGACCCTAGACCGGTATATCTTAATGACAAACTCGTCGTGGACCAGTGGAGTTTCCAGGAGTTTCCAGGGACCTATAGGGGAGTTTCCGAAAATAGGGGACCCTAATAATATAGTACCCCAAATAATATGATCCTTATTATAAGGACCCCAGAATAGGGTACCCCTAATTTTCGGAAACTCCCATATAACTAGACATGAAGACCCCTAGCCCGAAGTATGTAGTGATGCACAGGAGCCTTACCTAACATAAGGATGCTTACATAAGGGATCATGAGGCTGGGTAGCTATGGCTATGTAGAAGGTAACCGTACGCAAAATAAATGCTTCTAACCCTGCTATATACAATATTAGCCTAGTTACCTAGGATGCCCAGTAGTACCCTTATTCCCTTTTTGTAGTCCTTATAAAGTTACCCAATACCAAAAAGAGAGGCCTTTTTATTCTTAGGTTACTGGGTGTCCTAGTTACTCAGTCCTATGTTTTCCCAAGGAAGCACTGAGAGCCCTAAAGCCCCCATTTGGTCCCCTCGGTCGCTGTGGATGGCGCTGTTCCTCCTTACCTGTGTTGAAGGGTGTGTTCGGCTGAGACTTGCATAACCCCAAGTATCCATGCATCGAATATAGTAATGGTCGCTAGCTCTTCACCCCAAGACTCAACAACTCTTAGCTTCGCATTCGGATCTTCGTCGCATCTACCCAGAGACCACTGTTCCTCAGGAAGGGGCATGGGCCTTGTTCGTTCGGACATCGAGGCATATACTTGGCATGTTTCTGGGTCCCACTCCACCGCGCTGGAGGCATCGAGGACAAGGGCGGTGCGACATACATGCAGGACATGGCGGGGAACTCGGAGCCAGCAACCCGACCCCCAGGCTCCAGGTACCCATATGAAATAGAGCTTATGCTTAGGCCTGGAAGTACCTATATGTAGGGAACCCCTGCCAAGGCCTAGGCGTATACAATGTATGTACGTGGAGCGTTAGTGCTAACCCTCAGCAAGGAACCCGTTGATGTGGTACACCTATAAGTTTAAGAGGTTTAAGGTTTTGGATTTAGGGCCCCCGACTTCATATCAGAGACCATAGGCTCGAGTGCCCCCAGCCCTGGACCCTGTAACCACAAATCCAGTACTAGGGTAATGATCCAAGCACTGAGCTTTTAGATTCTTTTGGGGCACATTGTCCAAACTCTGCCATGGGCCTTCAAGCCCCTGTACAGCGGGTTGTGGGTTACGGGTTTGGGATGTGCGTATGTTATACATACATACATACAGACAGACAGACATTCGCATGATGACCCTTTACATGAACAACTAGCTATGCTACTTTTGTCTCGAGCTCAGAGCTTGCTGGCAGATGATATACAACGATCTGTCACCTCGGCCCTTCTTAGTGCACGAGATTCGCGAGAATGTTTTTAGCCATATTTATGCACAACATACACACATATATATATATATATGTAACGGATATGTGTGTGTATATATATATATATATATATGTGTGTGTATATATGCATATGTATATATATATATATATATGTAAATTGGTTATGGCCTTCTTGAAAGTTTCCCCAAAGAGCAGGTCATATCCTCGCGCTACCGGCAGTGCGAGCCAGGGATCAGCGCTCAGACCGGAAGGCCCTCCAGGTAATATAGGGTTTAGGGTTTAGGGTTTAGGGGTTTAGGGTTTTAGGATTTAGGGGCCTTCATGATCGAAGCAGGGGAGTTTAATAGGGGATATGCGATGTGTTATAAGGATTTGGGGATATGCTAAAGATATAGGGGCCTCAATGGTCGGAAAAAGCTGGGTTTCGGGATATGTTATAGTGGAGCACAAGTTCGGGGGCCTTAATGGTAAGAAAAGCGGTTTTGGGGATCTGTCATAGTAAAGATATATTGGAACTACAACGGGTGGAACTATAACGGAAATGCTGTCAGGAATTGTTCAGAACCCTATAGTTTCTCAAGATGTCTTTCCGAAGGGTTGGGAATCTGCTATGGCGCGGAGCCTTCGGGTAGCAGTAGTTTAGGGTTGAGGGTCAAGTTGAGGGTTCTCAGGGTGTATAGAGTTAGAGTTAAGGGCTAGGACGGCTAGGATTTCACCTGGGGTTTAGGGTGATTGGGATATGGGATTGGGCTACGGGTGTGGGGAGTAGAGTTTAGGGAGTCGGGCTTGGGGTTCGGGGTCTAGAAAAGCGTAAGGTTTGAAGTTAGGGGCCTAGCCCTTACGATTTAGGATGCCTAAACCGTACTTGAAGGATCATGGGACTTAGTAACTTGGGTTATAGATAAGGTAACTATACTTATAACTACTTATAACCCCAATTGGGGTACTTAGAACCTCACTCACTAAGTCCCACGATCCTCGAAGTAGAGCCTAAACCCTAAACCGGAAGTTGAGGGTTCAGACTTCTCTCAGTGACCGTTGTGGAGGCCCATGGCAAATGTCTGTATACCTGGGGCCTGCCCACGTGGAAGAACTGCCCTAAACCATGCAAACCATGCTTGAAGCTTATAAAGCCTGGCTTTTTCGGTTTCCTAACTATGATGTGATAGAAGGCCGCAAACCACTTGTCCGCCCTCCCTCTGGGGCCCTGCTACGAAGCTTTCAAGCACCTTCCACGAAGCTTAAAGACCAGAACCTTGCCTTTTGAAGCCCTGAAATTCAAAAAAGCCCGCAGAACTCAAAGAAGCCAAATAAGGCCCACGGATTCCTGAGAAAAGCCCTTGAAGAACCTGCAGTCTTCTACAACCCAAACAACCCTAGACTCTTTCAGTTAAAGACTAGGTTCCTGAGTAGTAACCCTTTTGCTTTTTTAGTTTAGGGCCCCCTTATTAAAACCGACTTGTAAGAAAATGATACCCTTGCTATGCAGGGGCTACTTAGGATCCTACTGTTGATGATATAAATCCTATATTACCGTAAGGACCCTAAACTATGGGAATTATGGTATACTCCTGCTTAGGTAATGCAGGATTTGTATCATCAACCCTAAACCCTACAACCCTATGGATCCCCTTAAAGGAGCCCCTTAAGGGTACCCCTCATAGATCCGTTTCAAGGAACCCTATAGGGATTTATATCATCAACCGAACCCTAGACCCTAAACCGTAGAAGAGGCAGTAGAAGCTGTCAGGCTGGAGAACTTGAACTTCTCCCGGGTGGACTTGGCAGTCGTAGGCTCAAAAGCGCTGTGCTGTTCAGGTTTTCGGAAGTTGGGATTCAGGGGTTTAGGGTTTAGGGGTTTAGGGTTTCAGGTTCTCGGAATTTGGGGTTGAGGGGTTGACGGGTTTAGGGTTTTCAGGGTTCAGGTTTTCGGAATCTGGGGTTTAGAGTTTGGGATTTCGAGCTCAGGGCATCGAAATTGTGGTTTAGGAGTTGTAGGTATGGGGTTTTGGGTGTAGATTTAGATTGAAGGTTTAACGTTCAGGGTTCGAGGTTTTAGGGTTCAGTTGTTTATTGTGCTTTCTGAGGTTCTGCGTCCGGGGTGCAGTTGCTATCCGTCCTCTGGTGCCAGCAACCTCTCAGTCTTATTCTGCTGGGTCCTCTGGTTGAAGGCCAAGCATCGTCAAACTTAATCCCAACCTTGAACCTTCAAACTTAATCCCAATCCTTGAACCTTCAAGTCCAGTACATGGTCGTGACACCACCAAGGGTCGAACCAGATTCGGTCGCTGGTTCGTAGTTCCACTGCATGTCTTCGAAACGGGGAAGGCTCCGGAACAGACGGGAAAGGACGGGTCTGTCAGGGAACCCCTACCCTATAATGGGCTATAGAATGGGTATATAATAGCTAAGGGTATATACCTAGGGGTCCTTATTAGGGTTGAGGATTTTAAGAAAGCCTGAGCCTTAAACCTTAAAGCCTTTTGCAGGCGGACAACCATCTGCTTCATCGGCCGGCTTGCCGATAGAAGCTGGCTTCTATGTGTGCGATGGCCCAGTGCGCCGTCTTCGCAACCACCTTTCGGATATTCTATATCGTTCACAAGTGTTGCTTTTCTCGACTCTCCCTCTCCCTCTCCCTCTCCCTCTCCCTCTCCCTCTCCCTCTCCCTCTCCCTCTCCCTCTCCCTCTCCCTCTCCCTCTCCCTCTCCCTCCCTCTCCTCTCCCTCTCTCCTCTTCTCTCTCTCTCTCTCTCTCTCTCTCTCTCTCTCTCTCTCTCTCTCTCTCTCTCTCTCTCTCTCTCTCTCTCTCTCTCTCTCTCCCTCTCTCCCTTCGTGTCTCTGGTTTCGCTTATCCCTCGCTCGTTGGCTCCTGCTCTCTGTCTTTGGCTCCTGCTCTCTGTCTCTGGCTTTCTCTCACACTCTATCTCGCTCTCCCTCTATCTCTCTCTCTCTCTCTCTCTCTCTCTCTCCCTCTCTCTGCCTCTGTTTGTTTGTAGTTGTAAAGATAGAATTCAGGCTGCCGGACACGGCTGACATGATCTCAAGCATGTCTTTGGTAAAATGTGCGCAGAAGGATAACTAGCTGCACAAAGATATGCTTAAGCCCTATAGAACCATGCAAGGCTTTTCCAAATTCCATCGGTGCGTGCCGTGTCAGCATCTTACTCATCTTGTTTACTCCGTCGCTGGTGCTGTGTACACCATGCAATGCGGGGGTCTGATTTTTAGTAATATGTGCCATCCCCGTAGAGTCGATTTCAACATGTTTTGTCATATCTCGAAACCCTTGCTATCCGTTGAGGCCCCTGTGTTTTATCGTTTCGATTGGTTAAAACAATCATTTGGCACCATGCTCTGTGGCAGTTCCCTTCAAGGCTAAGGCAGCTAAGGCGCCTTATGAATATACACTCCTGCAATAATTCTTAAGGCCCCTATATTGCTGGGATCGGTTGGGTTCTGCCTCCCCTCGCTCGGAAGGGCTGTGTTTTATCATTCCAGTGCGCCCCACTACGAATCGCAAGTTCTGTTCATCAAAGCCCAAAAGCGTTGGATCTATCCGAGGTTGAGACCTGCTTAGAAGTGGCCTTTAAAGCCTGCAGAAATACTTGGAGGGGCAGAGGACTTAGTAAGTACGTTATAAGTAGAGTTATAAGTACCCGAAATGGAGTCACCCCAATTACATATAACCCTACTTATAAACGACTTACTAAGTCCCCTGCCCCTCCAAGTATTCAGAGCCTCAGTCTAAATCTTCGCGAACTACGGAGGCAAGGGGTTTCGAGCGTGGAGGACAGCACCGGCAACGAGTCGGGCTCTGAGGTTTTGGCAGGCGGTACGCTTGTGGGTTGTGTGGTGCCTATGAAGTGTGGGATTCTAACTTTGGTGTAGGATCACGCGGAATGTGTGGGGGGAAGAGGTGCTAGCTTCTTTCGTGTCTAGCTGTTGTTTGGGCCATGGAGGTTCACAAAGGCTTCTGCTGTTTTTCATGCTGTAGAAAATGTACTTCCCTCTGTCGGGGCCGTGTGAGTGTAGTCATGCTCTCAAACCCTGCCCCAACCGTGAGTTCTTGTGTCGCCATGTTGTTAATTCCCGAACCTTAACCATAAACCCTACCAGTAGTGGGTGAGGCCCGAAACTCTTAACTCCAACCTATAAACCCTAAAGGGTTTATAAAGTATTGTGGTGCCCAGAAATTCGGCTGTGATTAGTATTCCGATGATTATATATATAGAGATCGTGTCGGTGCAAACATAGCATTCGCAGGCGAGTTCGTGCCTAGATGTCTTTTCCTTGGCTCCTGCCCATAAACCCTAAACCCTAAACCCTAAACCCTAAACCTCCAAACTCCTAAACTCCAAAGCCCTCAACCGCCCGTGGGCGCGGACTGCAGACTGGCAGAAAAGACCCGAATTTGGAGAGCCGCTGCCCAAGGAATCAGTGCGCGACCTGGCAGGCGCAATTCAGTAGCTCCCGCAGTCCCTAAACCCTGAGCCTGAGCCCGAAACCCCAAAACCAAAGCAAGCAAACAAAACAAAGACACACAGACATTCAACCCCAGAGGCTGAAACTAAAGCCGCAACAGTTATTAGCACTTTGCAACCAAGATTCGGCCGTAGCTACAGTCCCGAAACACCTGTAATCCCCAAACCCTTCGTCCTAAGGTCTCCTGAGCATGAGCTTGTCTGTAACGAACAGCCTCAAGCAGTATTCAGATGGGATCTACAGGGTGTGTTCTTGTTGTGTTTGTCCCTGAAATGAGGCTTGGGGTTGACCCTAAAGGTCCATGTGCGAGATTTGTAGGGGTTCCGGAGCATTGACCTGGCCGTGAAAGAGTTCGGGGGTTACTTGGAGGTTCATGGGAAGAAGTAAGTAATTAAGACTATAAGTACACTCCCATGATACCCTAAGTACATGGCTCGAAACGGTGAGGATCAGAGAGAGGAATATCGGAAGACGGTTGATGGGTGACATCCAATCTCATCGATGATAGGGAAGATACGTTGCACTGTAGAAGGCATGCAGGATGTGCGTACCAGCAGTAGGCGGAGGGTTATGCTGTAAGCTGCATGCCCTGACAGGTACAGGTACTGGCCTATGCGTGCGGATGGGATGCCACACTGGTGCTGGGCGCCCACTGCTACTGTTTGTGCTAGTGTAAAGAGTTCCGTCTGCAGGGTTTTAGTCCCATGCTGAAGATCTTAATGTGGCTAATCTGACCAAGATGCTTTTGAAGCTAGTTGAGGTGTCGAATTGGTACCTTGTCGGTTATGGCTGCAATCCTCAAGATTATTGCTTTGACATTGGTTGTACTTAGGATTGCGGCAACCTGGTTCTACGAGCCTTTTCTCTGGGTCCCATAGGCCATAGGCCCTCATCGAGCTCACCTGCCATTGCTCCATATGTAACGCTTGTAAAGCTTGTCCAGGCTGTTGTGTAAATCGTCTTCCCTGTCTTCAGCGGCAAATTGCTGACCGTAGTCCTCCGAAACCCTGGTAGCAAACTTCTCCTGACATGTCGAACCTCGGAGTTTTAGCAACATCTGGACACACAGCAGGCTTTCCGATACTGCCGAATGAGAGTCTGGGCGCTCCTGGCCTTAAACCTCAGCCCTTGATCCCCAAAGCCCTAAATCTCATCAATACTCGGCTCTAACCTGGACTTACAGCTCCAACTGTTAACACCAAACACGAGCAGGAGCAACTACTTCCGAGGTTCGGTGCCCTCCTTCACATCTCCATTCTTATCGTGATGCTCTGGTCCTGCTTGAGCAACCAGCAACTGCCTCAGCCTGCTTCTTCACGGGGCTTTTGGGTTTGGGCTTTGCTTCTAGGAGTCAGGATTCGGGTTAGGGATTTGGGTTGAGGGTTAGAGTTTGGTAGGGTGAAGGTTTTGCAGGATCAGGGGAGTTTCGCTATGGGCTTTGGTGGACGCTTTGGGGAATGCTTTGAACGGGGCGGAGGAAGTTGATTGGGCTGCAGGAATTTCGTTGGCGCGCTTGGGTGATTGCGGGGTTCAGGGCCACGTTTGCGGGCCTGAATATTCACTCATACGCTGATCTGATATTCGCCCGGTTAAAGTTATGCGATGGCATCACAGAAATCCGTGTCCTATGTTGACCTTCTAGAGACGACTTTTGAGATTGCGCCCTCGTCTGAATCTGTGAAAGTCCTAGGCATCTCCTTTAACCTTCAGGACTCCGCCACCCAGCAGGCCAGAGAAATCATACAGCGAGTCCGCACAGCAGCCGCGTGTCATCGAGCTCTCTTACGAGGTCGTGCTTGCTGGAACAAGAAGGCTGACATGATCCGAACCTTGATTGAGTCGCAGTTCTCTTGGACCGCCGGTGCTCTCTTTTGGAGTCCTGAAGACCTCCGCCAGCTGAACACAATCCAGCTACATGTCCTACGCAGCGCTTTCAGGCTGGGTCGACAAGCTGGGGAGACCTGGCAAGAGTGGAATGCACGCAGCATGCGGACCTGCAGGGCATGGCTCCATGCCAACTCGAGACTCAGATGGTCTACTGTGGTGTTGAAGCTGCAGCATACACTCCACGGGCACTGGGCAAGACAAACCGAACAATTGTCGGACGGGAGAGTGCTTCCCTCACTGGCAATGCGAGCGCTCGAATGGCGTTCGATGTGCTGGTGGCGTCAGCAACAACTGCTCAGTCCGGTGATTGGTGCCCGCCACCCTGGGCGATTTTATGCGGCGAACGTTGAAAAGCAACTTGCTGACTGCCACGGAGTTCGGTGGCCTGCAATCGCTGCCAATCGTCAATGGTGGGCTGCGGCACGCGATGAATACCTGCAGATGTGGGACGTTAAGTGGTCCAAGGGGCGACAACTTTCACTCCGTTACTAGCCCTACAGAAAACGAGCTCTTCATGCATCACATGCCTGTGTGAAAAGAAACCGTGAAGCCCATGGATGCCCCATGGACTGAGATTTGCTTTGTCAGCATTTACATGTGATTCTGTCCAGCGCTCTCTCTGTTGTGCGAGAACCTTCTTGAGATGACCAAGCTTGCAGCAGACATGTTTGTGAACTTTTTCCTGATATCGTCTACCTCGGCTCGAGGTGAACTTTGGGAACAAACCTTCTCTACTTGTGACCTTCATACTTCGCCACTCTTGTCTTCACGGGATGATGTGGCAATGTGCAGCCCTCTTGTGTGCGGCGGCCATGCCTGAGCCATGGCGGACATCGACCTCTACTACCTCGACCTCGACCTCGACTTCCTCTTCGGATGGAACCACACCAACATGGGAACCCTGGACGCCTGAACAGGTAGCGGCCATTGCAGCGGAAAACTGGGAAGAGACGAGCTGGGTGACATCCACGTTCGGGCCCAATGAAGCGTGGAATGAGACACTACCTGCAGCCCCCGCAGCGCACAGTTCAGCTTCGGGCTCGGCTTCGTGTTCCACTACGCCACCGTTGGGTCCATCCCGATGGACGGAAGAACAAATTATGGAGATGCGGGCGGAAGCGTGGGGTGATGTTGGCACGGCGACCTCCCCTTCTACATGGGACGAAAATATCAGCTTGGCTCTGCAGCACGATGAACTGGAGGAGGTACAGGAATGGCCATGGCCCACTGATTCGCAGGCAAGCTCTTCCTCCTCTTCGACATGGTCACCGTCGGTTCCGGCCGCCTCGTCGGTTCCTATGCCCTTCTCCGATGTGAACGATGCCAGCAATGCCGCTGAACGCCCACCTCGAGAACTCGACCCGGAACAATGTCAACATCGACCTCATGGACCTGGACCAGTTGTACCTGTACGACCTGCCGAAGTGGTACCGCGAGGACCTCCTGAACCTGCTCGACCTGACCGAGAAGCACCACGTGACACTACGAATTGTCCGACCGTGGACTGGTGGGAAGCAGTTCGTGACCGTCGCGCTCTCCGTCGTCGGGAAGCTCATGAACGTGGACCCCAACCAGTACCCTGTGCGATGAGTTCGACGGATGGGGAGACTGCTGGACGAACCACCAGGTTTGGCATTGATCGTCCGGGACGAGATAGGTGGCACCATCCTGATGGCTCCGTTCGCTGTCGACTCCACGAGCCACCGACAACATCAACGACGAATGACGAGGAGGACACAACAACATGTGCGTCGGACTCCCAGGATACTGAAGCAGTGTCCCCGTTCACGGTTGTCGGAAGTGGTAGTCGTGCGGATGGTGAAACGGTTCAGGCAGTTACTTTCTATGGGGAGAAGTTTCAGGTGTGGGCCGATTCACCCGATCAGCCAGATGGAGACTCAACCACAGCGGGTGACGACACTGAAGATACGGGTGCTGAAGCTGACGAGGACCTGAGCTCTGATTCCTCCACCTCGACCGGGTTCTACCGTCATGGCGTGTGGCAGCCGAGAACTAGGACGGCATGGGAGCAACGACAACATGTGGGTGGTCACGGTGAACAACGCCTGAAGAAGAGGAACGAACGCATGCGGAACTACTTCGAGGGCAAATGGAAGCCGGCGTGGATGGTCGCCTACATCCAACAGCGACGAGAACGTGAAGCCCGTCATCAGCTCCCGGGTGTGTCTGAGGTTCCAGAAGAGACCGGCGTTGGTGAAGCACAGAACCAGGACGTACCATCTGAGCCAACACCGGTGACTGATGGCCTGGAGGTCCCAGCAGGAAGTGATACTCCCTCCCTCGTCGATGAGGAATCCGATGGTCACCCGGCAGAGCCGTCCGCTCCAATGAACACCTGGACTCCCCCGTGGAATGCCTGGGCCTCTGCAAACAGCTGGGATACCTCGGCGAGCTCTTCACAAACCTCCTGGCAGTCCAATACAAGCTGGCATCCCTCTGCGAGTTCATCGTCTTCGTCAGCGACAACCTGGACGTGGTCTTCGCCCTCGACTTGGACTTCGTGGGAGGCCCAACCCTGGACGAGCTCGGGGGAGAATTTGCCGGACAGCAATTCCGGGGAATGGAATCATCAAGATACTGGGTCGAATTGGGCGGATGACTGGAGGGCTCAGCGATGGACGAGATGGAGATGGACCTCTACAACTTCGACCTCCTCGACTACCAGCTATGTTGTGCTTCCCAATGCAGGCCTCTTCCCTGAAGTACGACCCGCCCCCAATGGCCTGCACTCCCCTGGCGATGGCATCATGGCGATGACCAACGGTGAGACGGCTACCCTCCAAGAGTATGGCACACCGGAGGCGGTACGACGACAACTGACAGAGCTAATGGACGCTTTGGACAATCAGCAGCGCCAGGGCACTGGACCAGAGAGCCGATGGGCACTTGCACACAATTTGCAACGGATCAGGGAATCCATTGAAGCCATGAATGCCGTGGTTCGCATCCTCCAGCGTCGTCTTCGCCCTCGTGGAGTCCTACCTGTACAGCGTGTACCTACCAGAGAAATTGAGCGTCGTCGACAACTGCTATGGGGCCGTCAGTTTGGGCACCTCTTTGGCGACATCCTCGAAGCCCACCTGACGACGCCTCTACAACCTGGAGAAGGAGAAGAAGAGGCAGTATCCCCTCCTTCCGCGGCCCTGTCAGATGGTGAGGCAGCCTCGTCCTCTGATGCGCCACGGGATATCGGGAGGAACCGGTCAGCGGCGTCAAATCGGTCACCTGCTCGGTCGAGAACACCGCCACGTTCCTCAAGCAGCACAGCCTCTGCCTGGGATAGTGAGTATGCCTACAACGAGGATGGGGAGCTTGTTTACATACCGCCTGCTTCGCCTGATACTGTGCCCAATGGGCCCCCGCCACCAGCCCCGGTCAATGTCCCGCTCAACTTTGTGTCACTGGAGCCAGTTGGCCTCAGGGGGCTCACGCCCCGCCTCCTCATGCAATGATCGCATGTGGTGCCTCCAAGCTCTGCGACGGTACCCCTGTATCACATGGGCCGGTACATGTGGGAGTGCCCAGGCTGCTGCATCCAGAGAGGCAGGAAAACCAGGTTGAAGGAGCACTGAGGGGGCCGTGACCCACTGTGACGTACCATCGTCACTTGGTCCCGTCCCATAGGCAGCTTGCGCAACGATCACGCGCCATACATTCCGCTCATACGTCGCTGCATTCAGTGGCACGGCGCTCAGGTCAACATGTAGCCACTGCAACGCCTCTTCGATGGCGTCGGCCGTTAGACGCTGTAGGTGACGAAGGCGCCGTTGGCGATCCAAAAGCCGTCGGATGAGATCTAGAACATCTGCTTGGTCGCCATGGATGAGGTTCGTGTTGACACAGTCCCTCACAATGTCCGCAGGCCAGACTGGAGTCCGACTTGTTGTGCTCGTGGTGCTGGTCATGCTCACAGAACCAAGTCCACTAAGTGTCGAAGAGGTGCCGGGAGTACCCAACAGGCCAACATATATCTGCACCAGCTGCAGCTCCTCATAGGGCAAATCATCCCAGAAGCTATCGCGCTGCCACCATTTGGCTGGAAGTCGCCCATCATCAGTGGCTCCAATCAAGACCGAGGGCCACTCCATGGTGCAGTTAGCACCCAGGTCAAAGACGGTGCTCGTCGTGCTGGTTGTGGTTCTGTCACCATCGGGGTTGTCAGACGGTTCCCTCCAGATGGCCACTGGAGGCCAGAAGATGATCAGGATCTTTTCCTGATCCAGACGGATCCCGGACAGGCGATCCCCAACTGGCCTGCTGGAGTTAGCATGCCTCGGTGTCCACTACTGGATGTTGTCTCGAGTGGTCGTCGACGAGGGCGCGCTGCTCGTCCACGCCCCCGCCTGGTGCGAGAGGATGTCAATCCGATGCTGGAACAAGTTCCGGGCCATGTACCACCTACAAGAACGTTGCGGGTACTACCCGATGGGATGGCTGGTTCAGGGGCGATGTCACACGCGCAGACTAGCCCGACCGGTGCTACGTCCTCACATTCCTCTGGAATGCGTCGCCGTGGTCAGCCGGTGGAATCTTCCTGGGGAGGTGGACTACGTCATCGTGTTGGAGTTGCACCCCGCGCACCTGGCGACACCGCGGAGCATCCTGCACCCTCTCAACATCCCCTTCAAGCACGTCCTCGCCTACCTGCCGGAGCAACTACTGCGGAGGTTGACGATGTTGCTGAAGCTGTACGAGATGAACATGGTCTTCACTGGTTGCATGGCATGCCGGTGTTTGAGTCGGAAGAGTCAGAGGAATCTGCCGAGAATCCACGTGGACGCCCAGGTACTCGTGATCGTCCTGATGATCTTGACCGTGAACGTCGTCTGGACCGCAGTCGAAGTCGAGATCACACGTGAGGGCTCTGTGAAGATGGCGAAGTAGGTGACGATTCAGGACTTTGACGTTTGAATGCCTGTGTAGTGTAAGCCCCGTTTGTGTGGCAGGCTTTGCCTCCATTTCGACGCTGCAGAAGTGGAGAAAGGGTCAGTACACTTTAAAAAAAAAAAAGAGACGACTTTTCTGATAATGTTTGAAAATGCATTGCTACGTCAACTCGAAGGAAGGTCCCTAATGTTGTAGTTTTGCTGGAGCATCCTCCCCAAAGCTAACATGGACTTCCGCAGTAGCGCACTTTCCATGTACCTTGTTAGGTTGCAGGCAAGCTTTGCAGAGTATCTGCGGCAGGACAAGCCAATGCCGAAAACCTTAAGCCCTCAGCCCCGCTATCCCAGCCTATTGCTGTAGCCCTGAACCACTTAGCCCTAAAGCTCCCAACCCGAAAATCTTCTAACCACGTAACACGCTACGTCCCAAGCCCTAGAATCCT